TGCGCTCTGGATATTGGCAAGTGCCAATGGCTGAACCAGACCGTCCAAAAACGGCGTTTGTGACCCCTGACGGCTTATATGAGTTTAATGTAATGCCCTTCGGTCTTTGCAATGCGCCTGCGACTTTTGAAATAATGATGGACAGTGCCCTCAGGGTACTTAAAAGGCACATCTGTCTTTGCTATTTAGACAACATAGTTGTATTCTCGGCGAATCTTGAAACTCATCTTTCCCGTCTGGAACAAGTTCTCCAGTGCCTTACGGCAGCCGGGTTGCAACTAAACTTCAAAAAATGTCGTTTTGGCGCCCGCAAACTCGCGATTCTCGGCCACGTCGTTTCAAAAGAAGAAATATCGCCAGACCCTGCCAAAATGCGTGCCGTTGCCGAGTACCCCAAGCCTACTACCCTAAAGAAGCTTCGTAGTTTCGTAGGCTTGTGTTCCTATTTTCGGTGCTTCATCTGCAATTTCGCCTCTATAATTGCCCCCCTGACTCAGCTTCTCTTCCGTAGCGCGGACCTCTCTGGATGGAATTCCCACTGCGATGACGCATTCACGGCGCTTCGCCGGCTACTCACGTCTCCGCCAGTTCTCCGCCACTTCGATCCCAATGCACCCATTGAAATTCACACGGATGCAAGCGGTGTCGGCCTCGGTGCCATTCTTGCTCAACGCGAGGATGGCTGCGACAAGTACGTTGTCACCCATGCCAGCCGTACCCTAACGAAGGTAGAGTCCAACTATTCCGTCACGGAAAAGGAGCGCTTGGCTATCGTTTGGGCTATAGGAAAATTTCGCACTTACCTTTACGGACGCCAGTTTGATGTCACAGATCACCATGCCTTATGCTGGTTAGCGTCCATGAAAGATCCTACTGGCCGCCTCGCTCGTTGGGCTTTACGCCTTCAGGAATACGATATCCGTGTTGTTTATCGCTCAGGACGCAGACATTCAGACGCCGATGCACTATCCCGTTCTCCACTGCCTCTTGGCCTTGCCTGCTTATCAACTGCCATTTGCGATTCGTCATCATTGAGCATCACTGACATGCCATCCGAACAGTGCAAGGATCCTTGGATCAATTCTTTGCTCGACGTCCTCTCTCACAGTTCGTCAGAAACGACTTTACGCTCCCTCTCTCATCAAGCAAGACACTTTGCTGTGCGTTAAGGCTTGTTGTATTGCCGCAATTACGTGACGGACAGCCGTAGGTGGCTCCTTGTCATCCCTCGTCATTTGCGTTCGGACATCTGCGCTGCCTTTCACGATGACCCCCAGTGTGGCCACGCTGGAGTATTTAAGACTTACTCTTGCCTTCGTCTAAGGTACTACTGGCGCGGCATGTATCGGCACGTTCGCCAGTACGTTCGGTCATGCACCACGTGTCAACGACGCAAGACGCCTTCTCACAGCACTGCTGGCCCTTTGCAACCTTTAACCTGCCCAGCGAGACCATTCGACCACGTCGGAATTGATATTTGTGGTCCTCTACCCAACACTCTTCGAGGCAACCGGTGGATTATCGTCGCCGTCGATCATTCGACACGCTACGCTAAAACATCTGCGCTGCCTGCTACCACTGCGAAAGACGTTGCGTCCTTTCTTCTTCACCATCTCATTTTGCGACACGGTGCACCTCGTGAATTACCGAATGACCGTGGACGCGTGTTTCTCTCGAACGCCGTCGGCGAGCTGCTCAAGGCATGTCACACTGTTCATCGGAAAACCTCGGCATACCATCCTCAAACCAATGGCATGACGAAACGCTTTAACCGTACCCTTGGAGATATGCTTGCCATGTACGCCTCTGACGACCACACTAATTGGGACCAAGTGCTCCCTTTTGTCACGTACGCGTACAACTCGGCGCCACAAACAACCACTGGCTTTTCTCCTTTCTTCCTCCTGTACGGATGTGAGCCATCATGCTCCATGGACACCATTCTCCCTTACAGGCCTGATGTTTCCGAAGCGACGCCTGTTTCCGAAGCAGCTGCTTATGCCGAAGAGTGTCGTCAACTCGCTCGCTCATTTACCGCACAAGACCAATGGCGCCAGAAAACTGACCACGATTCCTCTGCGTCTAGTGTACACTATAACCCAGGAAGCTGGTTTGGCTCTGGGTCCCGTCTACCCCTCCCGGTCTTTCCCCGAAGCTTTCGTCGAAATACCATGGCCCCTACCGTGTGGTGCGACAAACACTTCCTGTCAACTATGAAGTTGAGCCCATTGATCCACCTTCGGACCAACGCTGCCGTGGGCGTGAAACAGTACACGTATCACGCCTCAAACCGTGCTATGACCCCCTTGTCGTGTCATTTCCCTAGGTCGCCAGGTTGGCTCCTTTCTGCGCGGGGAGTAATTGTACCGAAGCATAGTAGCGCCAGCTCTGTTGTAGCGTGAAAGAAGACGCTGACGTCCGTGTGTGGCTCGTGCTTGCTGGGTTCCTGCCTGTACCAGCTTGTTGCGGCTAACGTTTCTCGAATAATAACCTGTGTTTTTACGCAACCTTGCTCGTTGCAATGTTCTTAGTTGCGCACATTTTCGCTGCAAAAGATCGATAAAGCAGTTTTTTTAATTCTCTTTTTTTCTGATAGTGATTTTTTTCTTATAGGTAAATATTCCTGTAAGGCCTGTCGCCGCAGGCCATGGAGACGAGTCTTCATTGTCGAAGAAAGGTGCGCTTCCCAAAGAGCCAGTTCTCGGGAGACGATAATCCCGGCGTAAGGACGTCCGTTCTGGTTAGAAGATCGTGGTCGGTCGCCGCTTTTGACAATCGGGTATGTGGTCCTCGGCCATCGAAGTGCCCGCGGGCGACGTGAGGACATCCAGTGTATCGGCACCCATCCATCTGAATTAGAGTTCCTGGGACGGCTGTCAAGCTGGACAGCGTAGTCATATCGCAGCAATGGCAGGGGGCCCACGGCCGGACGGTGCCACCATTGTGTGCATTCGCACAGTTCGCGGAACCTAGTGTGCAGGCCGGTCCTTTAGCCTCTCTCTCTCCGGCCGAGAGGTCGAGTGCTTGAATAAAAGAACGAGATGAGAGGACGGCAACAAATGTGTTTAGTCTGTCCAATAAACGGACTGAATTGTTTTGGTTAGCCGTGAGGAGAATCGGGAGGGGCAACCAAGGGGTTACAACTTGGCTCCCATTTCCTCAGAGTCATTCCGGTTGCAGCAAACAGTGCTCTGCACTGTCGGCTATGCCGAGGCGACATGCGATGGTCCCAATGGTGAAAGAGTCTCGGTAAATATATACATACGTTCCTGTACATAAACTCAAGTTGTTGCAACGTATCTAAAGGCGCTGGTCTCCATCCTTTACAAGCAGCAGCAGCAGCCACGACAAGACAAGACGGACACCATGTAACCAACCTTCCAATCCCATCTACAGCAACAGTCGCTACGCAGCTGAGAGAGCTCTGCTCAAGAGAACAGGAAGTGGGTAGAAGGTTGAGTTTTACTATTCTTCAAGAATAAGAAAAAAATAAACTCTCGCTTATTTCGGGCTTCATCGCGAAAGTCGTACCGCTTTTCGTGGAGGGGTTTCGTTTGTGATAATTATTGGCTTGTTAGCTCGGTAGCATCGAGCAACTCTTCGTATAATGAGAATTCTCCACGCGCGTCGTGAATCGTTTCCTCGCCACGACTTCCGTCTTTTCTCCTCCCTCAGGTCACCTCTGCGACAGATGTCGAGAAACTCAGCGGGGGCACCATGATAGCACGCTCTACCAGTTGTTGCGCACCTTCGTCCTGTGACGCAGAAATCTTGCTAGCTCTGTTATCAGTAGTCAATTGTCCTTTATGTCAGAAGGATGTGTGTCGCTCACTAGAAGGAATTATGCCCTCCTGAGGAATCCTGAGGAAATTCGAATGCTTTGCGTAGCGTCCATAACAACGTTTCGCACGTGAGAACCCAGCTTTAGAAGAATAATGTTTTCTTTTCTTACACCGTGCAGCCAATAGTGCCTTTCGCTGCACGTGGCGTTCTTCTGTCGCGAGAAACGCGGTATGTGTTTTCAGCTCTAGTAGCTAGCGTGCACGGTAAAAAAAACCGCTACACAAACGATGGCAGCACAAACGCTACAGACGCGTTTTAAAGGCACAGCATTGAGGCGGTGGAAGGAAGGAAGGAAAATAGGAGGGAAAAACGGCAGGGAGGTTAACCAGCCTATAGGCACTCGATTTGCTACCCTGCGCATGCGAGGGAGACGGGGGAGATGAAAGATCAAGAGCAGAGAGGGAAGAGAGATAAACACAGCACATTCGGCAGCACACACGCGCACACTAGGAGGTGGTGGCAAGTAACGTTCAAGTGAACGAGGTGGGGCTCCGGTTGTTAGGGCCGAGGATTAGTGCGCGGGTCCCGCAGCTGTTGCTGACAGCTGCCTACGCCAATGCGTGGCATGAAGGGGCTCCGGTTGCTAGGGACGCGTGCGCCTGCAGCTCTTGCTATGGGAGAGGGCGGTGTACGGATCCCGTGGACGCCTGACATAGCCGGACTAAAAGCGCATTCACATTTAAAACAGATTGCACTCAGAGATTGCCTGCAGTGACAATGCTCATATTATGCACGAATGAGCACGAAAACGACGTAAAACCATTGCCTCAGAACGTGTCACAACAGCCGCTACGCTCGCTTGCTTCCAGTTTCCTAATAGAGTGCTCTAAATTGTTTTATAGTCCTAGTGTTCCTGGTGTTACTGTGAAAGCGTTATTCGACCGGCTGTAATTTAATTGCAGTATGGCTCCTTGTGTTCCGAGGAGAAGGTTGATGGACATCTAAACCCGGCATTTAGTTTGCTCAGAAAGTTGAACATGCTGCTTTTCGCTTACATTATTCCTTCTTGCCTATCTTGCCTGGTAACTATCTTGCCTGGTAACTTGCATGTATTTCTCACTTGTGCGCAGCGCGCTTCGTTGTGTGTATTTTGTTACGCGTGTGAAGTGAAAACTTTTTCTAGATTTCTCTCTTTTTTTCTCCTCTTTTGTTCTTACCAGCCACGTAGCGCTTCAAGTCGTTGGCAAGGTCCTGGTTTTGGGAATATCCGTGCTTTGTGACGACCATGGCAGCAGGGAACTCTTCACCATCCGGACAGGGTATGCCTACGACGGCCACCTCTTCTACGGCAGCGTGTTCCATCAGGCAGCATTCTATCTCAGCTGGATTCACCTTCCTCGATTGGCATACCATCATTTCCTTCAGCCGACCACACAAAAACAGTCTTCCATCGTGGTCGTAGTAACCAAGGTCACCTGCGCTGACAGTTAATGAATTAGGTGACAGCAATTCGATCAAGTTGCCAGTTTAAGTATACATTCCGCTCAATGACAAAACATGGAGGCTATTCAGTGAACAGCACAGCACTTATAGCGCGTTAATATATACGGCCAAGAAAGTTTGCAAAATACCAAAATACGTTCAATGCCCCGTGTAGCCCGTAGCAGTAGCCAATAATCTTTTCGTGACAATGTGGTCAGCTCAATCTAATTACCAGCCGATGAGTGATTAACAGGCTGTGTAGTGAGGTTGCAGGAAAGTTCTGGTTTTTCTCAATTTTCATGGTCAGCGTATTTTTGTGTGTGTGTGGATTGTAGATAGAAATTGATTTTGATTTATATTTGGGTTTTAAAGTCTCAAAGCCAACATATGATTACGGGAGACACCGTACGTAGTGAAGGACTCCGGAAATTTCGACCACTTGGGATTCTCGAACGTGCACCCAAATCTGAGCCCACGGGTTCACAATGTTCTCGCCTCTTTAGAAAATGCAGCCGCCGCAGCCGGAATCTGCGGGTCAGCAGCCGAGTACCTTAGCCACTACACTCTCAGTTAGGGGGCGGATAACGAACGGCGTATAGGCGGCGCGCTCATGCGTACTGACTAAAATCCCGTCTATAGGGAGCTCAGCAATAAAAAAATACCCGTGACAGGCACGGAAGTAACGCCTATGGCTGGTGAGACCAGGTGCAAGAAGGAAAAAAAAAGGGAAAGCCGCCATCTATGTCACGCCAGCCTGGTGCCAGGAGCCGGTATCAATTTACGCAGAACTGTTCAGCGACAAGCTTGAGCACAGAAAAAAAGAGAAACGCCCCCCCCCCCCAGCCTCCGCCACGCCAGCTGGACGCCCGGCGCCGGCATCACGTTCACCGTCACTTGCATGCCGTGGCATTTGTGTGTCGCTACTTGTTCAAGTTCTTCGCTGGAAAGAACTGGGGAATGTCCACAACTGCTATGTTGCGACTATATAGGATTCTTTTCCTTGGATTCCTTTGGTACAGCCTACCTGTGTTAAGCAACGCAAGTAAAAAAAAAACAAGCATACGGATGCTTCAAAGTGTCCAGGCTCAAGCACTCCGGATATCTTTAGGCTTGCCCCAAAGTGCGTCAACAGCGGCAACTATCGCCATCACAAGGGACAACCTCATCAAGACCCACATTAATGTGGAAGTGCTGAGGACACATATACGACACCTTGCTCGAACCCCTCGACATCACCTAGCCTCTCTACCAGTGGTCCGACCATGCACATCTTACTGCAAAACAGTGACCGCACATGGTGAGTCGATCCCAACTTCGTTCTCTCTTGCCGCTATACCTGTGACTCCGCCATGGTGCCTCGCTCAACCAATGAATAATATTAACATATCTGGCGTCAGAAAAAGGCCAATTTGTCGTCACCGGCTCTTAAACAGCTCACACTACTTCTCTTGTATGAGAAATACGAAGACTCTACACATATATACACTGACGGATCGGTTCAGCCGGGCAGCTCTACAGGAGCAGTAGTGATACCAAGGTTGGCCACGACAATTAAATTCAAGACATCTCACGCAACAACATCAACGGCAGCAGAATTTGGCAGCACTTCGTGCCGCGTTGCAATTTGTAGTTGATCAACCTACACGCAAGTGGACTATTTTCTGCGACTCGAAGGCGGCACTGCAGTCTTTACTATCAGCCTTACGCCGTGGGCCACACGAGCAGCTGGTACTGGAGATAGCAGAGGTTATACACCACCTGACTGAGAAAGGGCACCAGATTACATTTCAGTGGTTGCGCAGTCACTGCAATGAACGGGCCGATCAAGCTGCCCGCTCAGCCCACACAGAAGATCGTAAACTACGACTACCACTTTCTAGGACAGATGCTGCCCGAAAGCTCCGCAGGCTTGCTCGCCAGCAAACAACATCACAATGGAATCAGCCACACTTCAAGCATGCCCCTCTGTACTCGCTTGACCCTACGCTAAGTCCCGTCGAGGCTTTGCCGAGCAGACCAGACCCTGTTATGTAGGCTGTGGTTGGGCGTTGCGTTTACCAACGCCTACGCTTTCCGCATTGGGATGGCCGACACCGCAGCCTGTGGCCACTGTGGCAAAGAAGAAACGATCCAACATATTCTTTGTGACTGCCTAGCGTATAGTAAACAACGACTATGCCTTTGCAAGGAACTCAACAAATTAGATGATCAACCTCTGTCGGAGCAGGGAATTCTGCGGTATCGACAGGATGCGACTTCACAGAAGAGGGCCCTGAAAGCGCTACTACACTTTTTGCGATCGACCAGCCTTACTGAACGGTTGTAGCTAGGACGCCCTTCCTGTGTGTGTTTCCGTTTTCTTATGAGTGCGCGTGCACTTTTTTTTCTCTCTATCTACCCCCTCTTTCTTGCCCCTACTTCCCCGCCCCCAGCGCTGGGTAGCAAACCAGATGTCATTATCTGGTTAACCTCCCGGCCTTTCCTTTCTCACTGTCTTTCTCTCTCTCTCTCTCTCTCTCTTGTGCGTCGCCGCTTCGCCCCACTGCCTTGTGATGGTCGTTTTTCTACAAGATGGTATGGGACGGAAACATTTTCCAGTGCCTTACGGCACACTTTATTGAAGATGTCATACATCTCCCTGCTTTTGGGCAAACACTGGGATGTGCAGTCCCAGTGTTACTCGTTTGATTTCAATAAAAAAGTACAAACAACTTTCCGTTTATCATTTGTCGAGGTATGACATTGTGTCATGCCCTAAATAAAAGAGTACTAGTGCATGTGCGACAGCTTACTGAAACACTGGCCCATATATGTTGATGCTCGTTTTCCACGAAACAAGTTGAACTGACGATTTTAGAAAAGCATGGCAAAAAGGAAACAAGCCTAAGGCAGTGAGACAGAGAAAGATCAAAATTGAAAATCGATTGGTTGATGCTTGATTAGTGTTTGCGTAATTTGATGATGAATATCAAGTACAGAAGTATGCTTACAGAAATACAGAAGAAGTACGAAAGTACAGAAGTGTTCTTGGTGCAATAAAACTACACAAAATAATAAAAGATAAGTTTTAGATTAAATTAAGAGCGCACACCTTGGGAATACGCAGTTTAGATTGTGGTGGGTATCACCTTTGTAATTTGCCATTATTCGCATTTGTCATAGCGGTGGCAGTCACATTTGAATTGATTTAATTCGGGACGGCTTTTTTTGCAGCATCTTTGGTTTTGTGCGCATCGTGGAAGCGCAGCGTAGCGTGCGTATATATTAGCTTCAAGAAACGACAATAAACATTTGGTAGTCTGCGCTCTGTCTTGTCTCCCTTGTTTTCCTTCAAGTTTGTGCAGCACATCATTTTTTTCAAGAAAAAAAAACGTTTCCATCAGCTCTACATATTACATCACGTGATACTAAATTTGGTATCATGTGAAGTGAATAGGCAACGAAGGTAAATGACACGTCCACAGACGATCATCATGGCATAGAAGTCATGTACGGCATAGTTTACGTCCGCCTGGTAACGTCTTGCTGGTTTTAAAGTGACGTATAAACATTCCTCGTCTGTGCTTCGCAAATCATCGATTTCCACAGTAGTGTGCTCAGATTTGCGTGCACGTTAAAAAACCCCAGGTGGTTGAAATTTTCGGAGCCCTTCACTAAGGCGTCTCTCATAATCATAAGGTGTTTTTGGGACCACATATTTAGACCCCACATAACAATCAATCAATTTTTCACGGTACGTGGGGTATGCCGATTTCATGTAATCAATAGTGCCTTCTCCCGTGCTAAGCATTACGTTGCTGTTCTTTGGAAGTACTAGTGAGTCATTCATGTATGTGTTTAGGGATAGTTAAGCTCTTTTGTTAGCGAAGGAGCATAGGCAATAGGTTCTCGAAGACTAAAAGAGTAGTCAACGCGTTTAATGCGTATTTAGTTAATCGATCAGACCGAATACACCGAATAGTACTCCGATGGCCTTCAAAAAGTGTTTTGTTGAGACATGAAACCTGATCGATATCGTTCAGTGTAATAATGAAATAGCTTCCTTCTTAGAGCTTGTGTCTTTCAATTTAAGCCTGTTTTACAACTATTTGCTCTTTTGTGCTTGTGGTACCTGCGATGCACAGAAAAATTGCTCCAATTTATTCTGAAGTTGCTGAATGGGGCTGTTTCACTCTTTTCTTCATTTCCTCGATCATTAGAGTGGGGGGCGTGTGCTTTTACCCACCCTCACACTTAAGAAGCGCCGCGCTGCCGTAGTTACGAAACGCCTAAATGGTTTCATATATCCGTAATGTCACTGTCTTCCAAGTGCAGAGATATCGGGAACACAGGCTATAACAAAATAACCGGTACACAGACATTAATCAGAGACGACCCGTTCATTCGTCATGGAGCCCAAGTTGTCCTTTTCTTAGAGTGTGCCTGTCTCCACTTCATCCGCGTCCAAATTCTGGCCCGCTCCAAGAAAATATTCTGCAACGTCCTGCCAGGGGGTCCAAGATCACTCGCACGTATCGATGATGTCTGTACCACTCCAGGTTGCTCCGATGTGGATTATTATTGAACATCATTCCAGGGGGGCCAACATGAATTGTGCCAATCTAGAGAGCAGTATGTGTTGAAATGCACTTGCTTTACTACCGGGAGTGCCTGTGCACTATGGCCGTTTCATGGCGGCTGTCGGACACCTTGCCGTCTCCGGAACCGATGCTGATGAGGCGGAGGCTGTTTTTGACGTGTCTTAGGCAGACGTACTCGGCGTTCAGAAGTACGAAGACATGATCCCTGTCGTGGTGGTCGCCCTAAAGGAAGGTGGCTGGTCTGAGACGAGTTGTTCAAGTACGGCGTCACCATGGACCCGCTGGCGCCAACGATGTCGACGCACACGGCAGTGATGAGCATCGACCTGCTTGCCCGGCGTCTCAGCCTCTTTCAAGTTCCTGCCACTAGCGACCGCGTACTCAGGTTCATGGCACTTCTTTCCTGGGGAGATATCTTGCTCCCATACGGATAGTTCTTGGTACTTGTCTGAGGTTCGTGAAGGCGCTTTATCTCTCCCGATGGCACCAAAACGCCGCATCGAAGATGTGCCTGTGTGCGTTGCAGAAGAATTACGGCTCAAGACAAACAGTGCGCTTGATGGGCACTATATGTTGTCAGGTAACAAGAGTCCTTGTACCATCCAGCCAAACATTGTCTCTGTTGCTTTAACGTTTTGGTTACATGGTCAATTTTTCGGTGGTAACCTTCCAATATGAGTCGGATTCTATCAGTACGGTTATTCTTAAAATTGGAAAAGAATAGAAAAGAGAACGCGGCAACTGTCTGCAGCCAAGTGCGACACCTCAGCAGTGGTTCACAGAGGAAGGGGAATGAGGGGGGGGTAATAGACATGAGCGGAGAGAGAAAATTGCAAGGAGAAATTGATGGTCTCCGGACTCTGCCCAAGTTCTGCCTGTCTGCAACAATACGTGAGTGGACTCAACGTTACCATATAGTTTGCTAAAATTAACTAGAGGGGACTCTGTCACTGCGAACATTCAACGACCATGGGAATGATGGGTAGTCCACAGATTTCCCTAGTCTTCATACTTGCGGGCGGTGAATCGCACTTGTAGCTTCGTTTATTGCTGTGTTTCGGTTTTGTTTTGAAGGAAAGAACGAACCCTTTTGAACTTCGTGACCCAATTTGAAAAGGTAAGCCTAAAAAATGAAATGGTGGACACAACCGCTGAACATTTGCTGATTTTCGTTTCGTGGCAGAGCAGCTCCAAGCCACATGAACCCACACGGAGCCAGAAGCAGGTCAGATGTACGAAAATTAGACAAATATGTGCACTACCCATCATTCCCATGCTCGCTGAAGCACCGTGCGTTGCAGCTCCCATAGACACTAGCGCCAGAGTTCCCTCTAGTGTATATTAGGAAACTCTTTGAACGTGACTATTCTGGGCGGTAGTGACAGTTGGCGTGTTTAGTGGTGGGGATTGAGGAAACGCTGAGGATTTTGCGGTGGGCAGCGTATGCTCGGCTGGCCGTGAGAACTCGCCGGGGATTGTCAGGTGGCGTCGCTGGCAGATACCACCCCTAAGACTGAATGATTTTTTGCACCTTCTGACGATATGGTTTCGTGTTGCACAGCGGAAGCAACATTTGGTGTACTGTAGCCTTGCCCGCTTCTCTTCACTAGATAGGTTGGTGTTGCAGCCAGTGATCGTGTGATCTTTGCTGCGGCAGAGTGGGGACGCCGGTATAAAAAACAAGGTAGACCCCGTTTGGGCGGACGCTGACGGTATATTTTCTGTTCAATACATTTCTTCGCATATGCGAGTCCTGGGTTCATCTTGCGACGCACGACGAGACTGTAACCGGCCTTCTTCCCGGATTTTCACTTGAATGCGGAGAAACGTTAGGGAATCCTCGGCTAGCCACGTTCGCTCTTCAGGAGTTTCGGTGATGCTGGAGGCGCCGTTCGATTCTTTGGATTTCTGCCTGTACGCAATGGCGATATCCTCCGGCAGACATCGCATCAGGACATGGTTTAAGACCACAGGTCGGGCACAACTCCTAAACCTTCGAAGGCACTCACGTGGAACTGCGCACTATCGTGCAGCAGACGAAGCCTCAAACCATCTAACGAGCTTTTCACTGGGCGTAGCGCAAGCAGATGATCAACATGCTCGTCCACAAGCAGATCTAGCTTGCCGTTCCAAACTATCCATGACGGCCTTGACTGCAAGGTCGTGATTCTGCTCTGCTAGACGAATGCCTTAGACCACTCGCTTCGCGCTCCCGGTTTAGTAGATGAGGGGTACTGGAACTTTAGGGGCAAATCTCTTTTAAGCGGCACCCGTTCGTCCCCCATCGTAGTTCGTAACGTGTCTTACGCTTTGACCTGCAAGGTTGTGCCGGTGGGAGATTTCTCCGGTGCGCTGTTGAACAATAAAAATTCGCAGCTTGCGCGTTATCTAAAAGCTGAATTCTCCTGTCTCTCATTCCTCATCAGCAGCCATTGGCATGTACATTGCGCACTATCTGACAAGAAAGGGTTGCTACGTTATACTCGCTGGGCGTAACCTCCTTGGTTTTAGAAAGGTTTAGCGAGCGTTGGGCCGCAGTACCATGAATACAGTGAACTAGTATATACCATGAATTTGAGGTCATTAAAGATGGGAAGTAGACACGAAGCGCAAGGCATAAGAAAGTGTGCGTGTGCCACCTCTCGTTTAGTCCTTGGAATGTCCCCTGGATGGCGGTGCTTCTATATGCGGAATATATGATGAAAAGATGCGAGATGGTGGTACTTGGAGTGCTGACTAGATGGACGAACGGACACACAGACAGATGCATAAACGGACGCACAGACGGCTGCACGGACGGATGGACGCATGGACGGACGCAGGGGCGGATGCATGGACGAGCGCAGGGACGAGCGCAGGGACGGACGCATGGATGGACGAGCGGACGCATGAACAGACGCACGCACGGATGGGCAGATGGACGCACGGACGGTCACACAGACGGACGCATGGACGGACGGAAGCAAGAACAAATGGACGGACGGATGCTTCGCGCCACTCTCCATCATTCAACCCGTGGATATGCTACCATTTTTTAAGCACGGCAGCTCGGTGATCTTGGGGATGGTAGCCTCGAACCGGTCCCAAACGGACTGCCATCCACGAAAACTGCCATCAAAAGTGGACATCTAGAGCTGAGGCAGTTGAACCGCAAGCGGACGGTGCGCTCTCAGCTGCCCTGCTGCTTCGCCGAAGTGTGGGCGTTCGTAGTTGTTTGGCCCGGATCCAGTTCCTGTAGCCAGAACTTTGCTCGTGACAGGGCGTAAAGAATCTTTTCGTTGTACTCATTTGCTGCTTCCACTTCATGATCCATGTCTTCTTCGTTCATTGCCGTCAGAATTACTTCTTCAAGCCTCGATAGTGCTGTTTCTCTATCCTTGAGTAAATCCATGTGGCCTTTATTCTGGGAGGCATCAGAATCCAATCGCTGCAGCAGGTCCGATAACAGTGCTAGGGCTCGGTGACACCAGCTATGATCGAGCAGCGCTTCTTCCAAAAGTGATAAGCGTTCGCCATGGTCGTGACATTCAGGGAAGTCTCCGAAGGGGTGGATCCCGGGTTTCCGGCCCCAAATGTGACAAAAGGACTGGTCCGCAGACGTTAATCAAAGACGACCCGTTCCTTCGTCCTAGAGCTCAAGCTGTCCTCGCGCGTTCCTGTCCCCCACTTCATTTTCTTCGACAGTCTGGCCCACTCCAAGAGAATATTTTACAACGCAGGCATCATTCAGTAAGCCGTATTCTGTGTAACGGGTTTCGTTGAGTATAGACCACCTCTTTGTTCTCGTTGAGGCGACTCCTCTTTTCAACCCCTTCTTATCTCTACAGGTGGCCAGTAAGTCGAGATTGAAGTGAGGATCCTCGACGATAGTGACATTGATCAGTTACAGTTTTCAAACATAACCCGCCTCATTCAGTACGCCGATGATGATTAAGGAAATGATTCGTTAGAAAACGACAATCCGGCGCACAGTCACATCGTAAGCAGCAGGAGCGGGCTTTTTTGAGCCCGCTGTAACCTCTTTTAGATGCCCAACTGCAACCCTTCGGTAAACACTATGTCATAACTGTCACCATTTCGCGAAGTATGGAAGTACCCAATAAATGCTGTTTAGTCTTTTTGCGAGGTAGCGAGGAGCGCGCTATGCGTTCGTAAAGCAACATGCACTTGCACACTCTGCGCTTTGTTGATGCTGTGGCTGGTGGTGGTGAAGATTTATGAATGAACTCTTTGTATTGGTAACGAAGCTTTAAACCAACCGCTCGTTGGGCAATTCACATGACCAGTCGCCTTGTATTATTTTATTTTTCTGCGATGCAACAGTCTACCTGTCAATGCGATTTGTCGGCTGACATGGTGCTGGCATAGGATCTTTTTGAGACACATTTTAACGACCGGCGGGGCTATCTGGGATAATACTAGACAAGTGCATCCCCGAAAATTGTTTTCGTGCGCTTATAACAGCTTAGGCTGAAAAACTACCCATCAAAAGCTACGTCTTTCTATTAGCTGAGTTTCTCACTCCCAGTTACCCGTATGTATCCAGCCTTGTTCATCCATAATGTCAATCGTATCTTGTGAATGCCCCGAGTAGCCACTTGCAGCGTACGGTGTATAGAAGTGCACTTCTCCGCGTTGCATTGGCCCCAGTATCTTGCCGCTGATTGAATCAATTATCTGGAAAAGCAAAAATATCTTGATGTGAAATGTCTTTATTGTGTTTCTTTCTAATTGCGCTTGCATCACAATTAAATATACATTCTCCCCCGCTCCCCCACCAGAAGGAAAGCATGGTCACAGTAGAGCTTCACGAACGAAAACCAACTTTTCAAATGGAGCTATTTTATGAAGGCACAAAAAAGCACTATGAAAAATTACGGCGCGATCTTCAATATTAACATACGAAACACAACCAAGACGCCGCGTGATGGGCAACTTTTTTAGTTTCCTTGCCTTAGTTGTGGCGTCACTTGTCTCGCCCCCAAGTAGTCATAATTTACGGCCGGGGTATCATAACACGGGGCCCGCGCACCTTTCGCTAGTGGCCCGGCTCACACATGACTATCCTCGTTTCATATATTTTGCGCACATGCACCTCCATCTCGTCTGACGACTCGGTTGTAACGACGCTTATTTAGCCGCGAGCTCAGGAGCGAACAAGTGCCATGGATCCGGTGATGAAGCACGCACACAAAAACAATATTGTTTATTACTCAAACAGATGATAATGAGTGATTGCTGCAGATATGAGGAAGAAGTGCATAATAGTTGTCTACAATACTAATTTCTTTAATAAGTATGGTCACACTACACAGACACGACTGCTTTTATGCATTCCTTTCGTACGGCAAGCATGCACAATTCCCCTCCCCCCTGCCCCCACGTGGTCTCCACATGGAACAAGAAATGCATATTCAGTAAGACAAAAACTATGTATTCAGAATAACTTCTCACAATTCAGTCATTCAATTGATGTTTCTGGAATCTCAATGTACGTAATATGGGAAAATTATTCTTTCAAGTAGCAATGTTCACTGACATGTTAAAAATCTCCCACTTTCATCGCAGTCTCGGCCCTTGCAGTAACACATTTTTTATCTGTGACCCGCTAGCTGTGGCGAGTTTGTGACCTCTGATGCATTGCCCCTGATCTTAAGGTGTTTCGGAAACACCACGACATCTCAGAGGCTACACATGAAGCTACACATGATACTAGCCATGGCCATATCGCCCCACTCTTCTGTCAATTGTGTTAAAATCCTCACATAATTCTTTATTGTTTTTTTTTTCGCTAAATGTGTGGAGACAATAGGGAAACACGCAGGACGATTTTTGGAGTCTTCCTTTTTTGTCCTCTTCGGTCTAGCGATATAGCTATATATATTTTTTTCATTGAACCTGTTCCGTCTCGCCAGCCATCGTCCCTTTTTCAGTATTCAGATTATTGCACTGGACACCGGGTCAGAATGAGACTTACGAAAGCAGAAGCGCCAGATTGAAAAGTTTAACGAAGGAACAAAAAGAGGGCTTGCATATATAGCATGATATAACACGCAAAAGATAGCTTTTTCTACGAACTCGCGCATCGTTTACGTCACATTCAGTGGACCAGTGGCAATCGAAAGAGCCGTTTACAACTTCTAATAACTTCATAGGCGAAATACGGGGCTCATCATAACTTTGGCCATACATGTCTGCTGACTGTGCATGAAAAGCTCGGACAAAACAATAGCTCTTATGTACGCCAGACAAACACTACCTGCAGCACCACCAAAACTTGCGATCCGTAGCTGAGGATTGGAACCAGCCGTAGGAACAAATCACTAAGGATAAAAGGCTAATGGGAACTGACAGACAATAATGCCAAGGAAAGTATAGGGAATAATATTGGAAGTAAATGTATTTAAACGTGGAGAAAGAGATTTCGCTGAAAATATAACTTGCCGCCGGGAGGAAGCAAACCTCGACCTTCGAATAGCACTTCCGATGCTATGCCACTGAGCTACGGCGGCGGTCATCCTCCCGTCCTCTTTATGGGGTGTATAAGCAACTCATATTTTTTAGGGGCGAAACTCCTTATAGCGGCAACCGTTCGTCTCCCGTAGTATGTAACAAGTATAAAATTTTGACCTCCAAGGTGGTGACGGTGAGAGACTTCTTCTGTGCGTTGTTGAACAATAAAAAATAGTGGTCAATGTACATGTCAATGGCTGCTAATGGGGAATGAGAGACAGGAGAATTCGGCTTTTAGTTAACGCGCAGGCTGCGATTACCATTAGCAGCCATTGGCATGTACATTGAGCACTATCTGACAAGAAAGGGTTGCTACGTTATACTCGCTGGGTGTAACCTCCTTAGCTTTAGAAAGGTTTAGCGAGCGTTGAGCCGCAGTGCCATGAATACAATGAACTTGTATATACCATGAATGAACTCGAGGTGGTTAAAAATGGGAAGTAGATACGAAGCTCAAGCCGTAAGAAAGTAAAAGCCGAACTCTCCGCCTCTCATTTCCCATTAGCAGCCATTGGCATGTACATTGAGCACTATCTGACTGAAAAAGTTTGCTACGTCATACTCGCTGGGCGTAACCTCCTTGGTTTTCGAAAGGTTTAGCGAGCGTTCGGCCACAGTGCCATGAATACAGTGAACTAGTATATACCATGAACTCGAGGTGGTTAAATGTGGGAAGTGGACCCGAAGAGCAAGCCGTAAGAAAGTGTGCGTGTGCCACCTCTCGTTTAGTCCTTGGAAGGTCCGCTGGATGGCGGTGCTTCTATATGGGGAATATATGATGAAAAGGTGCGAGATGGTGGTACTTGGAGTGTTGAATAGATGGACGAACGGACACATAGACAGATGCATGGATGGACGCATGAACGGACGCAGGGGCGGCTGCATGGACGAACGCAAGGACGGATGCACGAACAGACGCACGCACGGACGGGCTGATGGACGCATGGACGGTCACACTGACGGACGCATGGATGGACCGAAGCAAGAACGAATGGACGGACGAATTCTTCGCCCCACTCTCCATCATTCCCTCCGTAAATATGCTGCCATTTTTTTCACCCGCTTTTTCTTTTATTTCTTCACATTGTAACGATGAAAATCGGCAACATAGTTTTGGTCGCCGTTGACGTTCCCAATGGTATAGATCCCATTGTCACGATTTTAACCAATACTGTATTTCCTAGGGACGCTGTTCACGCGTCCATGGTCCTGTATTCTGCCACCATGAGGACCGGAATTGCTATGTCCTCCGCGGATACTCGGCCTGTGTATCCAATCGAATCATACGACAGCACCGCGGAGCTGTAGCACACCATTGCACAACTCCGCATCACTACTGACGCCTTGCTAGCGTCCAGTTCCAAGCTGTCACCAGTCGCATAGCCAACTTTCTGCGCACTCAAGGCCATGTGGGCTGCTGCCGCGTCGCAAAAACTTGATGCCAGCCCACCCGAGAACCATCGCAAACTCCGGTGTTCCCTCAAGGAGCTCTCAGAGCAACTGGGCTGCATGGGGTTGACTTGCTGCAAAGTTTTGGCGGCTGTATCATCATCGCCGACTGCCTGCAAACTACCGCAATTTTGCGGCTTCCAGGACGGTGTCGACAATTGGGTGGCTACATTCAACGCTCTCAGAGCTCGCAAGTTATGGGCAGAACAGCAGAATTAACTGGTGCATAGCCATAGACCAACTTCGAAATTCGGCCGTGGTGAGAAAGAGGCACGAAGGGGTGCGGCAGCAATCGTGGGTGGAATGGAGCTGCAAGCTGATTGCTGCTTTTCGCCAGACTTTCTTCTACTTCTCTGTCACCCCTCAGTTCAACATGGCCGGTACCGAGTATTGAGCTCAGGAGGTGTTACATCCCAAGGCTGCAGCTTTCAGCTGCAGTTAGCCACTGGAACTTGCGAACTCTTCATTGGTATCCGACGCAAGTACGTCATGGCTAGTGACCAAATTTGAAGACGGCCCTCGTGAATGGTGCCACTTTGAGTACGCAACCGCAGGGAACCATCCCGACTCCACACCTGTACCTTGTAACGCCCCTTATGACATCACGGCAGAACTCCAAGTGGGAGGCACCGAAGCAGGCTGTAAGGTGGGCTTCGTGGTTCAGCTGTCGGAGCACACGTCGACACCAACTTCCCGCACTTCCTTGTCAAAGACCTTAAGGCAGTCGTTAGCAGAATCATGGCCATTCATGGCAAGAAAGAGCATTTGTGCGAGTGAGACGCTCACAAAAGCCAAAGCATTCTTCGATGACCAGACCGAATAGCAGAGTCACTGAGGTCTGCGGCCAAAATGATTTAGCCAATGTTGACCATCTGAGTAATGGCATTTCAACAGTACAGCTCGCGACGTACAAGTGACCGACCACCCCGACATTCTCAGTGCCGCCTTCCGGAGACAATTTCAGGAGCTTGCCACATTTGCAGTCATGGCGGAGTGTAATGATGAAAAACGGCAACGTAGCTTTGGCTCTCGCGCTCGGCCAGCTCGATGCAGAAGACGAAGCAGAATAGGAACAGCTGGCCTGCCATACGAGCGTTGTGTCGTGTTTCTCCCCAATATTTACGTCAAATACTTCTAATAATCACCTATGCTTTTGTTTAGATCATTATCTGCTACTTTTCACTAATACTGAGTCCAATTAACGCTTCCTTCATTTCTTTCTAGTTCAGTGCAAACGCGCGCTTAACAGCTGGGGCCGTTGGTCCGCCTTAGTTCAGGGAGTGGTCGTGATGCGACGTTGCATGATGGGTAGCACCGCTTGCGTCACACGTGCCTAGGAGCGCTTTCCACCGGAAACACGCTCCTAGGCATATTGCACTGACAGACGTATCATATTGCACTGTAAAACGACTAAGTTTTACAGTGCAATATGATACGTCTGTCAGATTTGTTCCTTCGTGCCACTTTCTTCTGACTAAAAGCAATGCCACCGCCACATCATGGCATAGCGCGTGTAGTAGCGTTGCAGTGACGCTTCCCTATTACCTGCCCGCATAGCGCCACAAACGGCGACACGCTACCTCAAAACACCGTAAATTTTACACAGCCAGCGCAACCACCAACATAGTGAACATGAAGAATGCAACTTGCCACCCCACGTATCTGTACACAAGTGAATAAAAAACTACTTCATGTAACTTCCGTCGTGAGGCACTGCATGAGGGGCTCTCTCCACCATGACAGCCAAGCACACACGAAGACTAGGTGATGGGGGAGAGCAGGAAAGGGCTAGAGGAGAGGTTGGTGAACGGCTGGATCGAGCGCATCTGGCTGGCATTGATAAAAGAGAGGAGGCGTCGGGCGAACGAGGCAAACGAGCACTAAAATTTACACTTCCTTCATTGAAGGACATAAGGCCCACACGCAAGGACTAAACTTAAAGCTGTCGTTGTCTGGTGCACTTTTCTTCATTGTGGTTAGGTCCTTTGGGCCATTGCATTCCTCAGAAACATAAACAAGCTGACCCGGAATCTCAATTCTACTGCAGATGTACCATGTACGTAAGCAAAGTGCCATTGTCGGTGGTCAATATTACCTTCATCCTGACGCCAGGTACCGGGAAGCCAACATCTATGCCGGACACATCTCCATTTGGAGGAACAGTCAAAAATCCGCCGGCCTCGTTCATGCCATACCAGCTGCGAAGGTCTTTCAACTGGAAAGTGCTAGCCAGCTCTTTCGCCAGCTCTGGCGGGGTTGAGGAGCCGAAGAGGATGATTCTCCTGAGTGACTTTTTCAGCTGGATGTCCGAGTTGTCGGACGTCTTAATGAAATTCAGTATCTGTTTCATCCTTGAAGCGAAGCTGACGATGGTCACCTCCTGAAAAAAATGCAGCAATCTGTATCATTGGATTTTAAGACGCACCTGACGTGGGCTACTGATAGGTTAAATTTTTAAACAGTCTTCTTCACCAAGTAAAAGTGTACGTTTGTTTAAACTTTTTTCTGCGTGTGTGTTCACCAATATCTCTGTTCATTTAACATGTCATGCTGCAGTCTTCAACCTAATGATGGCTACTATAAAAAAAAAATTTGCAGATCCCACGTACAATGAGAATCAGTGATATACGATGCACGAATGAAGAAGGTTTACATGTCACATTAAAATCAGCACAACTTTAAAAGGGGGGGGGGTAAATTATGCCGTACATGACTTTCATGTCATATTCATGATGTTTGAACGTGTCATTTACCTTCGTCATCTATTCACGTCACGTGATACGAATGTGGAGCTAGCAAAACGGCTGCTCGCCGTCGTTTGCTAGCCTTGGAGAGGGCATTGTCAACTCCCCCAAGATTATCCCCCTCGTGGCCGTTTAAAGCAAAGACATGAGGCGAATTTTCGCTCAGGTGCCGATGTCCCGAAGACACGCCGACGAGAGGTTCGCAGTGGCGTTTTCTGGTGTTTTCGGTCTCTCATCGCGTTACACTACATTACGACAAGCTGCCTTTTGAGGCATCTTCGTGATCATCGGCCTAGTAAGGCCAGGAAGTCTGGCGACTTCGTTGGCGGGCGCCTCGCCAGCCGATGGTCTGCGTCTGCCCCGCGTCTTCCGCGGGCTCGTGTCCGTGTCATGTCACTCCAGTGTAAACGTGCCTCAAGGAATACCGGATCAGGAGTGGTCTCTCTCTTAACAGAATCTCCCGTTCTCGTTGCAAACCTAAGATTCGTGATCAGTGTCAAACCAAACTCTGAGACGCTCTCTTTACATTAATCAGCATATGACCCATACTCTTGTATACGTAACGTGTTATAGCTGTTTGCGTTGCAACGATAGAAAACATAAGGCTCGCTTCGCTTGCCCACACATCCTTACGTTATCGTTTTGTTGAGCAACGCCAGATCAGATGCTCAAAAAGTCAGCTGCTAGCTTACTTCGTATAACAATTCCGATAGGTTGCGGTCGCGTTCGTCTTTCCCCCCTTGCGGCAAAATTGTAGCTACCTTAGTGCCATAAATGTCGTAACACACACACACACACACATATATATATATATATATATATATATATATATATATATATATATTCATGCGTCTCTTCGAGTTCCTGCATCATGAAGTCCTCGTACATTTGTATTAATCACATGGCAGTGTCATAGCATGCGCTGTTGGGTCTGAATTCTTGAAAATAATTGGTATGGCCAAACCTTGCGCTAGCACCTGATTAAACAAATACAAAAGAGTTTGCAAGTAGAACTTCATAAAGTGTATGAAGTTGTAAACTGTTCACCTGCTACTTGAATTGATGCTGTTTCAAGAATGCAAAAAAAATCCGAGATATCCTGGTCATTGTGCAAATCGATATCGTGAAAAACAATCGCTGCAGGGTGGATCGACATGTTAGTGTAAATTAAGTACTTGTGCGCATATCATGGCCTCAACCCTTTGTGGCATACTGGGATGAATCGCTCGCACTTTTCAAGCAGTTCTTTGACTGGCCTGTGTGACGCTGTCCGTCCGTGTCTCCGCGCCAACGCGCCGCCCTGCACAACCCTCACCGCAGTTGCTGAAACGATGCCAAGTAGGTCAAGTCGCAGACGTCACTCTGTCACTCACCCGCAGCAGCTGTTGGCTCCTCCGCCAGCTCGCAACTCACTTCTCTCTCGCTTCACCATCTCCACCGCCCGCAAAGCTAGACCACACGTCGAGTCTCTTTCGGCTCGTTTATCTGCAATTAAACTTACACGAAACCCAACCCACCTCCCACGTCTGCGTTTCAAACAAACGTTTACTCGAGTAAACGCTACAACGAGTTTTGCTTCAAACCGTTCTTACAGCACCCGCGTCGACACCCGTTTCAACGGGGTTCACCGTGCACACCATGTGGACCACTGCTGCTCGCATCCCGTCAGATATGGACCATAAGTTATCTTCTTGAGTAAAAGATTTCTCAACCGCTTTGCGTTACGATATGATATATGTTTTTCTGCGACAGAGCATAAGAAAAGTGACTCAGGAAACCAAGAAAATATACTTAAAACCCTCGCGGTGCTCGGTATCGGTGGTACCTTGAGTTCGAATTCATTTCGCCGTGTTGAGAACTTTTAAAAACCACTGTCACATCGCACGCGAGATAGCCGAGGTTCTATATTTATGGCGCTTTTATCTCTTTTTGGATCTTTAGAAATGCTATATTCGCATGCAACTATGGGTTTTTGTTCTATATTAGAGCAGTATATCGGCCATAAATTGTGTTGGAACTACACTTGAACAAAAAATAGAGTAATTCCTTGCCTATAGCTTAACTTTATAATATAAATGCATAGGCGCTTTTGAAAAAAAAAAAGGCTTGATAGCAATAATTAGTGCCACAAAAATGGCTTTCATAAGGAGTATGCCCTCGAGTCCTTTTTTTTTCCTTTTTTTACAACTCTGGGAGCAGTGTTAAAGCGACCAAAAGCTGTGTGTGGCTAATGCGCCGCTTCTAGAATCGAGGGCGAAACAAAAAAAAAATTGTTGCTTTAGACAGCTAGGACATGGAAGAGAACACGAATATACAAGATCTATCAAAAAATCTAATACCTCAGCCTGGAATACAGTTCATGAATCCAAAAATGTACGTCGTAGTTGTCAATGAAATTCCAGGATTTCATGCATTGAGTGACATAACGTCTAGGTGGCTTGACATGCTTTATGGCCAGAATTTTATATATGGGAGGAAATTTAGGTAAACTTTAGTGTTCGTCCTTATCAATACCAACCGAAGAGACAGACAAAAATCCACGCATCCCCACGAAGTGAATCATGAAGAGTGGGCGAAACTAGGCCGTGACGACCATAAAACTGCTTCATACTATTCCTAAACACGTTATTTAGATATACCGCGGGAACGATATCTGTTAAATGAAAAATACCGATGAAGCCATAAAGGCTTAACAGGCTTGCCGAATGTATACCTTGGCACTGAGGAGTAGCTCATAGAGGTGTTGGTGCATTCAGAACCCCACCACCAGTATTTTTAATTTTGCACGTGTATGTACAGAGGCACACATACAAGCGTACCCACAAACACAAAGACTCGTATTCACAAGCCAACCTCGAACTTACCTCACGTTTTCCTCAACTTCCTGTACCCTTTACAAGCGTTATAGAGGTACAAAAATGGTAACAGAGTGAAAGATAAGACTGGTTTATGAATACTGGCACAATTAATTTTTTAAAGTCCCCTGCCCCCTCCTCAAGAAAAGAAAAAAATCGACCCCTACGCTACTGTCTTTTTGAGTCAGTTTTGGTGTACACGATAGATAGATAGATATAGATAGATATAGATAGATAGATAGATAGATAGATATAGATAGATAGATATAGATAGATAGATAGATATAGATAGATAGATAGATAGATAGATATAGATATAGATAGATAGATAGATAGATAGATAGATAGATAGATATAGATAGATAGATATAGATAGATAGATAGATAGATATAGATAGATATAGATAGATAGATAGATAGATAGATAGATAGGATAGATAGATAGATAGATAGATAGATAGATAGATAGATAGATAGATAGATAGATAGATAGATAGATAGATAGATAGATAGATAGATAGATAGATAGATAGATAGATAGATAGATAGATAGATAGATAGATAGATAGATAGATAGATAGATAGATAGATAGATATGGTCAAAGTTCTTTTGGACCGCTATAATTGCTTCGCATTGAAAAGGCTAGTGCGTCGGCTGGGGTGCACAAGTGTCGCTAAATACCTTGAAGTCTTTGACGGCGTCGAAAACGTCAAAAGGTACTGCATGGCACGTCCTGCTGATGAGAATCACCGATCCTTGATGGAGCGCCAGAATCCAAAACGATAATATCAGGAGAAAAGATATGTTGATGTCGCCAAGAAATGCATCATCTGAAGTAAGCATCTGGGCATCGCTAAGGAGCAAACGAGAAACAAACAAATGTACTCTCGTATATTTGTATAATGCTTCTAAATATTTTTGTTTCGTTATTTTATTCGTTCTAGTTTACCGTCTTTTTGTGAGTTTCTTCAATACTGCTCTCATGTTGATAGGATAGCTGGCTGTAATGTATATAGGCAAGTTACCCCATTTATTGCGAGAGCGTTAAACAGCTCGTTCCGCAGAAATTCTGGTTTCGGCGGTTGTGAGCGAAAAATTAGCATCTTTCGCGCGACACAAAAATTAAGAAAGATGCGAATAATATAAGTAATAAAAATTGTCCGGTCTGAGGGAGAATTAAACCCAGGTCATTTGTGTGGCAAACAGGAGTCAAGCCAAACAGGCATGCCTCTGTTTGGAAATGCAGTTAAAAAAGTTTCCTTGGAAATGCAGCAACTGCATTGCCAACATCGCAAAGAAGCATGACCTCAAACTGGCTGGCACAGTAACTCACACCTACCATCCTAGAGTTAGGCTGCTTGTTGGGGCTGATCCCAAAGGGTAAATTACAACAGAAAGTGTCAAGAGCGTCGATGGCAGGTTTGTAGCCGTATAAATTGGGTTTGGAGGGGTGTTACAGGGCACAGACACAAAATCGTCTGTCTCTACGCACAAGATGAGCGTCGGTGTTATGCGAGTCAGCATGAACTAAGCAACAGATGACGTTTCTCGTAAAGTCAGATCATTCTGGGAGTTGGAACGCCTTGTGATCAGGAGAGTTGCTTGTTCCGTGTACTCAGATTTGGGTGCACGTTAATGAACCACAGGTGGTCAAAATTTCCGAAGCCCTCCACTACGGCGTCTCTCAATCAAATGGTGGTTTTGGGACGTTAAACCCCACAAATCAATCAGAGTTGCTTGTTGAGCAAGTTTGTACAAAGCACTACATATTTAGTTAACTACGAAAATCACGAAACGTGGAAATCGAAAAAAAAAAAGCAGAGCAGCAGAAACAGAGACAGAGAGCAGAGACGTGGTTGTCAGTACCACGTCTCTGCTCTCTGTCTCCGTTTCGGCTGCTCTGCTTTTTTTCTGATTTCGACGTTTTGTAGAAAACCTTGGGATCGTCGATGACGCACCACTGACTTCTGAAAACGACGACGTTCTAAGGGCATTTGAGGACTCCGTCATCCACAAGAACGATAGAGCCCCGCCGCGGTGGTCTAGTGGCTAAGGTACTCGGCTGCTGACCCGCAGGTCGCTGGTTCAAATCCCGGCTGCGGCGGCTGCATTTCCGATGGAGGCGGAAATGTTGTAGGTCCGTGTGCTCAGATTTGGGTGCACTTTAAAGAACCCCAGGTGGTCGAAATTTTCGGAGTCCTCCACTACTGCGTCTTTCATAATCATATGGTGGTTTTGGGACGTTAAACCCCACATATCTATCAATCAATCAATCACAAGAACGATAGATAACGAAATCAGCTAGGCTTCTGTGGAAATAGAGTGCATTGACCGACAACAAGGGAACGGCATCGCACAGGCTTCACTCACTTTCTGCGGAGCTACTGTGAAATGACGAAACGACCCGCAGCTATGACCAGGCAATCCGGAACTACCTTCAAGCCAGACACACTGAGGAAGTTAACGAATTGGGTGAGTCCCCGCAGAGGCCCATTTACTACATGCCACTCAGAGGCGTTGCCCGGCCATGTAGTGAAACAACAAAGTTGAGGGTCATGTTTGATGCGTCCTCCAAATCAGTAGGGAAGCTATCACTGAACGATGTTCTCTAAGCAGGATCAAACCTAATTCCAGACCTAAATCCAAGTTTTTTAGACATACTGATTCGATTTCGATTGCCCAATATGGCCATAATGTGTGGCATATAAAAGGTCCTTCCTAGCCAGCTTCAAATTAGCTGGCTGAGAAGGATCTCGACGTGCTTTGCTTTCTGTGGTATCAAATTACAGCAAAGCAAGATGGAATGCTACCCCCATTCGAAGAATACCGGATGGAAAGGGCACCATTCGGCGCTATAGTATAAGCGTAGCACGTTCCTTTACGCAGCTACCTTACGTCATCCTGTCATCCAAGAGAAATTTCCCCACACCGCTAATATCCTGGGCGACAACCTGTATGTTGATGACTTTGTTACTAGTGCTGACAGTCTAGAAGAGTCAGAGCAGATATGCAAGGAAGCACAGTCTGTACTATAGAGATCGGAAGCATGAACCTAAAATGGTGATCGAGCTATTCAGTTTTAATGGCATTGTTTGCTGAAAGTGAGACAGCCCTAAATATTCTGTCGAAGTTGTACCCCACAAAGATTCTCGGTGCAGAATGGAGGCCCTACAAGGATGAGTTCGTCTTTGAGATGTCCGCCTTGATTGGATTTCTGGCAAGTCGATATGACACAAAGCGATTTCTACTGCGGGCCTCCACACGCATTTTCAACCCGTTTGTTCTCCTCGCGTCCTCTACTATTACAGCAAAGATAATATTTAAGAGCCTCTGGATGCGGGGTACAACATGGGATGAAAATATTCCTTCAGATGTGCAAAAGAGATGGGACAAATCGTGCCAGAAGCTTCATGAACTTCGAGAAATTACAACTCCTGGGACTTGAGATAGCTTTAGTTTGGCGTTCTTAGACTCCTTTCAGCAGCTAAGTGGAGCGGGAACGTGAGTGCGCATGCGCTTTTCGCTACAGCCGTCAGCGGGTTCGCGGAGCGTAGCTGCCGTTTTCGCGAGTGGAAGGGTGACGAAGCACACGTCTTCTCTTGTGCTCTGAAATTCAACCTTACTGGCCATCGCGTCAACGCTGTATTCGATTAAATGAACTGGTAACGCATTGTAGGATCAAGCACGAATAATTTGTAAACAATTGAGTTATGTATACATGTTATATTTTGTAAAATTGGTCTCTAAATTTATTTATTGGGGATGACCTTGGGTAGAGGGCACTGTAATTGTAACGCTCCACTCCGGAATACAAAACGTATAAGTAATCGTCCACCGCTCCACTGGCCAACTCGGAGTGGAGTGGGACGTAAAAACGTCAAACTATAACTCTTCATTAGCTCATGAGTGGAAACGTGCCAAGCCTGAGGGACACATATTTTCCGACATGAGCCCTATGACATACGGCGCAGTAGCTTACATCCAAGCGCTAAATCAGGAGGGTGAGGTCAGCGTAGTGCTGTTGATGGCAAAGGCAAGAGTCGCATCACTTAATCGGTTGTCATTACCACGGCTAGAACTGATGGGAGCGCGGATTGCTACACTACGCGCGAGCTATCTGAAGAAACAACTAATCATTGAGGAGATTTACGTGCAATGTTGGACTTATTCAACCATTGCGCTCAGTTGGATGAAGAGCAGCGGTCTAAGACGGAAACCCTTCGTTACTCATAGCGTTCAAAATGTTCGAACGCAGACAAAGGCAGTGGTAATTTCTCGTCCTTTGGCCTACGTCCGTTCGGATGCAGGTGGGCTTATACCCTTGATTCCTGCACATTTCCTTGTTGACCAGAAACTAACAAGCTTGCCCCCTCTCCGTGAAACCGGGTAAGTGAAATCGACCGCAGATAGCCACATCCGAAGATAGAAGCAGCGCATAATCATTGTTGAGTCAGTCTGGCAACGTTGGAGTCTCGAATATCGCCTGCAACTGCGTTCTGTGCATGTAGGCAAAGGGACAAGCATCGGCGAGGGAGATATCGTTCTCCTCGGAAAGGACAGAACGCATCGCCAAATGTGAAAACTGTGCCGAGTTCATTAGGCGGTGAAAACGTTCATTTTCACTGCCTAATTATTGAGTTGGGCCGCCAAAACAAAGCCGACGGGATTAAAGAGGTTTCGCACGCACCTTTCTCACGGCATCCTTCGTATGACCGGCTTTGATGTTTCCTTCTTCCTATTGTACCTTTCGATTTCCTTTGCAACATTTTAGTCGTCTTCACCAAAAGCAGTCTTGAAACTGACACCGACAAGTCGAGTCGCTTCCTTTCGACACTTCTGCGCGCACGGCCCAAGCCAGCCTGTTAGTTGACGCGCAGCGAGGAAGTTCAAGTCGTTTTCCAATCGGAGTCAGCTTACGAAATTTAGGGCGCACGTAATCATCTACACTCTGCTTGGTGGCCTGTCTTGTTTCCTATCAATTACTTTCTTATTTTTGTCTCTTCTTCTTTGTCTTTATTGCATATTTGTTTTCAGTTCTTTTTCCTTTCTCATTTGTGTATTTACATTATTTCTGTTTTTTTTTTGTTTGCTATCCCTTTTTCGTATCTTTTTCTTTCTGTCACCTTCTCTCTGTGTGTTATTCACTGTCTTTTTATATTTTTTACACCTTTATTTTGTTTATTTCTCGCTACTTTGCTCTTGCCTTTCTGTCAATCACCTTTTTTCTCCTTCTTTCTCCCTCTAGCAATATTTTATGTCTTTTTACCGTTTTATGCCTTTATTCTGTTTATTTCTGTATTTTCTCTTTCATTGTTTCCCTTTCTTTCTTTTTACTGTTTATCTCTTTCTTTTGCACTCTTTTTCCGTGTTCGTTTCCGTTTGACACTCGTACCAGTGGTGCAGGATTTCCTGTGGCATGCATGGGCACTTCGGGAGTGTTCCGGAGACGCCACACAAACTGTGGCGAGCTACAACTTCAGTGTTAAAATAATAATAATAATCCCCATGATTGCGCTGCTGCATAGGCAATGGGCAGATTTTATATCAAAGCTCAGGAGTGGTAAGCCTGACTATAGGCATTGCAAACTATAGTACAAATCAACAGGTCCGCAGTGCCGGAAAACATGGATTCTACTCGCTCATACTAGTCACTTCACGAAGTACTACGTAGACGTATGAGACTATGTAGCACTAAGTTTGAGTAATGCTGCAAAATACGTGCTTTTGGGTATGAATTCAGGATCAGAAAAAGTGCCCTGACACAGCAGCTTCCAAGAAAAATGCCTAAGACGATAGCATACTAAGGAGATAAATCATGTTAACATTGTCACTTGGTGAGTACTTACGTAATCTGGTTTATATGTATTTTTGTAATATTGTAATTTTGCAAATGCATCAGTTCTTTTGTAACAGTGTGAATGCATTGCTTCATGGGCAAAATATTACAAAAGAACAAAGGGTGAATAGCGCAGTGACACGGCAGGTCACAACACCTTCGTTACACAATTAAAAAAAACAAAAATGATAAATGCGTGTGTACTTACACAAGACTGGTGGTTTGGGCCAGAAAGCGATCTAGAGGGATCTCAAGGTCCTTAGATGCACCATCTGGCGCAGTGGTCCATGTCACAAGTTTGCCATCACCCGTGTCAAAGATGTCGATTTCACAATGCGATTCGTTATTATTGCAGAGCCCAAGCCCGCTGTCCAAGCCGGACCTTCTCTCGCCTACTAAAAAGGTCTTCTGCGAGAAAGGAACAATGGCGAAATCAGAAGAATGTGGCTAAGTCGGAAAATGAACGATACCCTTTGAATATTATTGCAGAATTCAAACAGGTCGACTTCCCGCTTGTCTGTGTCCTCACAGAAAGCAACGCTCCCTGATCTTCGATGTTAACGGCCTAGAACCCCATAGAACGTCATCCGCAAAGGCCCCGATCGTACACCCCTATTCATTAATTGATCTAGCATGATAATGATTGATGCTTGATTTGTGGGGTTTAAAGTCCTAAAACCACCATATGATTATGAGAGACGCCGTAGTGGAGGGCTCCGGAAATTTGGACCACCTGGGGTTCTTTAACGTGCACCGAAATCTGAGCACACGGGCATACAACCTTTCCCCTTACGTCGGAAATGTAGCCGCCGCAGCCGGGATTTGATCCCGCGACCTGCGGGTCAGCAGCCGAGTACATTAGCCACTAGGCCACCGTGGCGGGGCGATCTAGCATGATATTTGAAGCTCTGTCACTCAATATATTTCTGTGCAGTTTGATGTAGTCGTGACTTTATGGCTTATTTGGTTCACATTGCGTAAAAAATGTACTTCTAGAGAGGGTAATCAAAATCGAGAAGTCCCAGCAGGAAGCCAAAACTGTACGACAGCCGCGTCAGTACACAGCCTCCGTGCTGCTGTTACCGATTAACCTGGCGAATGAGAGACTGCGGATGCAGCGGAACACTACTCGAGGTTGAAGCCGCTGGGTACTTGGAAAAGCACCACTCGCGCATATGATAGCGCTGTGTTTTTTTAAGTTTACAAAAGCTTTGAGAAAACTTTATGAATCGTGACGTATGTGGATGATGATTGAAATATTCGACACATACTTATGAAGATAGCAGTGCGCTGTTCTTCGTCCCCCGTTCCTGTTATGACTTGAGTAATGGCATTTTGGATAAAGACACGTGAGGTCACACCCTCTTGGTGGTCCACGACACCTTGGCGCGTCACCCGAGCCAACATCATTTCTGTGTGTAACGCTTTTTCAGCGATAGTCATCGTGTCACTGTAACTGGTGCTTGTAAAACGTTAACTTCATGGGCAAAATATTACAAAAGAACAAAGGGTGAATAGCGCAGTGACACGGCACCACCTTCCGTTAAACTACTCGCTTATATCACCATTGTCAGACCTAAACTTGAATATGCATCTGCCGTCTTTGACCCCCACCAAACAAATCATATTAAAATTCTGGAATCTGTCCAGAACCGAGCAGCCAGATTCATTGCTTCAGATTACTCCCGTTACTCCAGCATCTCCAACCTAAAAAACCAGTTAAAGCTTCCTACCCTCGCTTTTCGTCGTCATATTGCACGTTTGTGCCTTTTTCACAAATTCTTTCATTCAGCCACACGTGACAACCAGCTCATCCAACCAGTCCATCGGGGCCATCGCAGAAGTCATCCAAACGCTGTAATTCCGCCACGTGCTCACACCACATCATTTCAACAGTCATTCTTTTTGCGCACCGCCCGAGACTGGAATGACCTTCCGGAAGAGGCGGCTGTCATCCGGGATTCTGCGCGCTTCAGGAATGCCATACAAGCAGCAGACTCAACTGCATCTTAACCATTACTTTTGATACCGCCTTTCATCGCCCACCCCTCATGTAAAGTTCCATACGGAACCTTTGAGGATATAATAAATAAAAATAAATAAAAAAAAAATAAAAACTTGATGTTAAAAAAAGAGCACTTGCAGCCTCTGGTAAGGCGTGAATGACTTTTTCCTTTTGGTGACACAAGTCAGGAAACTGGAATTAATAAGTTGTTACTAGAGAAAACGGAAGGTACCTACATTCCTAAATGAATAATTAGGAGTCTAGGGGAGCTCTCGGTGTCCAAATAATTATTTGCTTAGAAAAAGTCCCGGTGAGTCACTAACAACACTGTCTGTATAAATGTTACTCCGTTCCACGACAAAGCTCTGTTGAAAGTATGCGTTTGTCCGTGTGTGTTCTTGCCATTTGTTCTGCTTCCACGGTATTAAGCTGTAAGCTACGGTGAATTACCCATGTTTATGTTCCATATTAGCAGAAAACATGAAAATACAAAAAGCGAAACAAAAAATACTCAAAAAATTTCCAGCACTCACTTTTATTTTGCAGCGGTTGGTAATACGAGCAAACATTTCGGCATAAATTACATCGGTGAGAACGTGAGTGGCATTGGATTTCTCTATCTTGTCCACAATGTCATCTGAAAAAGAAAAAAAGAAAAGAATAAAAAAACCAGGCATGACCAAAAAAAAGGTGATGCCAAGCCTGAAGGAAGTGCTGTTATCTCTTTCCTTCCTCCTCTCTTTCTTTCTGTAGTTTCTTGTTTTAGGCTTACGTCTTTTATTTCTATTTTTCTTCCTATCTTTTTTTTATTTCGTTTAGTCTCATTCTATTTGTCGCTTGATTTCTTTTTGAACTTTTGTACGCGGTTTGTGTTGTCGTGTTCTTCTGGTCATTGCAGCATCCTCATCATCAAGGCACTTGAAGAAGGTACAAGAGGACGAAAACTTCTCCTTGGCTCAATATGCTAAACAGCTGTATAAGCTGTATGTGGTTTTGCCTGCGTTGTGCCAAGTGAAGACGACTACATACGACCAGGTCATGCCACAGACAGCCCGGCCCCCTAATCTGTTCCACGCGTAAAACGTCACCCACTGTTTCCACAGTTTCAAAGCATCGTGTTATATGCGACGCGAACACTGAGCAGTTCATATTTGTTTATCGCATGTGTCAGCTTTACACAACTCAGAACCTGTGTATGTAATAATAATAAAAGATACACAGTCATTCCTGAAGTAAACAAATGAACCCAGCCAACAATTTGGCCCCAGAAAGTACAACCACATTAACTGTTATCTTTCAACTGTAGTGTAGTCATTATGGCGTAAATTGAGGCGACTTATGCTGATCGCCCTGGCTGCCGGTGGGATCCAAGCCTACAAACTTCGAATTGTGCATGCGATGTTCTCCCAATCGGGCTGCGACGGAAACCTAATCACCATCTCTTCGTTGGGTACATCTGCGAGTATAATCCCTGGGAGTCTTCGAGATTTGAAATCATCTGAGATCTCCTGAAAACTAGTACAAACCCAAGAGATTTGCTTTGAATTAGCAGTTACATTAGAGACATACGATATCGGAGCACAACTAAGGGCCAATTTACTGTCAAGATGAACACGAATGGGTAGAGTTCATGGAAAAGTTGGGGACAGTTTCGATTGTTGTCGCACTTGAGGAGCAGATCTCAACGACGCGCTTACATCTATTGGACGCGCACCGGCACTGCTCTAAGCACAACGTTATCGGAAGGAATACACCAGGGCTCACAAATGTGCACGCACGAGTGCCCCTTCTGAACACCAGGATCAAATTCCTGAGTCGCTTCCAGAATTTTCTTCTTTCTACTGCGAATGTAACGCACGAGTTGAGGTTACATGCATGCTCCCACCTTCACGCCACATGATGTCGGATGACACCAAAGACGCTCCCGTGAGCGGGACGCTGCACACAGCGACGAAGCTGTCGATAGAGTTGCCGATGTGCACATAAAGCCGATCGCCTTTGCCGATGCCTTGGCGGCGGAATTTTGCTGCGCTGTGCAACACTTTCTCTCGCAGTTCACCGTAGGTTAGCTTTTCGTCTCCGCATATCTGCGAAAGCGACCACACATTATCCGTGGGGTATACACAGAACGTACGAAGAAACAACATTCAAGTATTTCAGCGAAGGTAATAAACGCACTTTATGATGACAGCAAATGTCACATAGTCTACTTGCTGCATTATTGGGAACTATCCCTCCATATGCTAAAGCCGTGCGTTCATCACAACTCTCACTTAACACTGAAAGTATTCCAATATTATAGATGCACAGTGCAGAATAAAATAAGAATATTCCGAGAAGACCGTTTTTTCTTTCTTTTTTTTTCAGTGCAATAGACGAAGTTGGCCGAAATTTTCATTGGCAGAACGTACAGAAGTAAAGCCTAGGCAACTCCTAACGTTGAATGTGAAACCGAAACGTTGCACATGCTACCGAAAATTAAGGAACCCTAAAGCTTCGCCTTTAGGAGTTCGACGTGATAGAAATATCCTGTACCGTGTGCATACTTCAATCACTAAGTGCATGAAGTTTTTTTCGAACTTGCTATGTACCCACTACGTGGACTTAATGGAATAAGCGCAATAGCGTATGTCTCTTTTGTAGTGGGTGACCAGATTTAAAGCACGGAGCCATTATGATAATCACGTGTTCTGACGCCCGCTGGCAATTGGCACTTGAAGCAGCGTTAGACGGACCAGCTGTAAACATTACCCCTATGACAGCCTTTATAGTGGCGTGAAGATTTCGGAGACAAATGATGATCCGAGAATTCTCTACACCATCTTTCAAAAATTCTCCCAATTTCAACTATCTAATGACACCCTGGAAAACATCCTCATGTCATAACTGACACCTGAAAATTTTAATCACTTAAATACGCTGTTATATTCCTCCGTTGAATTTTTGTTTGTTTAGAACAGGCTTGACTCCCTCCCCACTCTGTTACTTTTGTGGAGAAGAGGAAACTGTGGAACACGTTTTGATCTCTTGTAGAAAGTTTTCATCACTAAGAAAAGTATCACTAGAAATTCCGTTTCTGATCCTTGGATTAGCTTTGACAACGTCAAATTTACTGTCCCTAGGTGTACGTATACTTGGGCCCAGCAACGGGAAAGTGTGCAAGGTCGTGCAGGATTTCATTATACTGTCGAAGAAATTTACTCAATAACCTCAATTCCAAAAGGTTCTCAGTTAGCCAATGTACACTAATGAAATTTTCTTTGATATCAATCATTTATTGCTCCTTCAGAATAAACTAATTCATTCAACCATTTTTTGTCAAGAATAATTAACGAAAATCAATATTTCTGTTAGTATTCTTTTCGTTAGCATTTAAACATATATATATATTTTTGTTAATCAACCCGATTCTTGGCCAATCCTTCATGGTGGGTGTGAGTCCCAAGTTTAGGATCTACATTCACATCTACATCTACCATGCATTTTTACTGCAATACTTCATGTTGCACTGTGAAGCATTTATACAGCACACGTGTGTTTGTAAAGCACGAAAGCTGCTTTCACTGCATTTCTAAGCAGAGGAAGCTCTTTTTCATGTTTTCAGAAGCAGAGGCGTGGCCAAGTGGTAGAACATCCGCTTGACACGCAAACGACCCGGGTTCGGTCCCCACCCATACCCAAACGACACTGGTTTGGTACCCACTGTGACCCAAGACTTTCTTATCAATTATTCATTTTATTTGCATCGTTCTTTGTGTATCGGTCACGCTTAGAATGATGATTTCTTGCTGACAACCTATGACGCCAATGCCAGAATTTCTGCAAAACGAACTCTTAAACGCTGTCGCAATAAAACACCAAACGATGGCTGACCACTCGCCATCGACATCACATAAAGTCAGCTCAAGCGTCAGCTCAGCTTGAGAGCTTCATCTTTCGAGTGTGGTCATGATGGGGGCGGTTTCTGATGTTTCGGTAGTCGTTATTGTTCAGCTCTGACTTTCCCTCGTACACTTCTGCGACCTGTGGTGGAAGTCCACTTATGAACCAGTGTGCAAGCAGATTCTGCAGTGCTTGAGTCGATTTCCGTCATGTGGATGCACTTTACGGTCGGGGAGACCGTCGGCCAGAAACGAGCACTCGCTGTCTGTAAACACTGCAACAGCAGCTGTATACGCTTTTGCCATTTCCACATCTTAACATGATGAAAAAAGCTACAGAAGAAGCCAGCGATATTGTCTCTGAATATTAATTCGAACTTCATTTTTTTACCATCTTGATCAATGTTTCCATAGTCAAAGCCATGACTGAATAGACATCTCCGTTCTTTTTTTTTTTTTCAACTGCCGTAACAATTCTAGGAAGCCACAACCATTCCAGAGAGCTAAATGAGTTTGTGGTAATGATTCTGGTCTGCCTTCGGTCTGCTAAATGCCGCATTTGTTTGTGGAAAGAGAGAAAGCATTTCATTTCTGTTATTTACATAACAAAGTTATCGCTTTTGACACTTGAATATGAACTATTACCATATGGCAATAAACTATTGCCTTATGCTGAAGAAGTTTTTTTATTTTTTCCAAACTTTCAAAAAAAGTGAAAAAAAAACAGACTTTTTTTCGATTGCTCGAAATTTCTAGCAGTTTTGCATCTCTACCTATCCGCCGCAGTGGCGCATAGCAGTTTCAGTGCTCGTCTGCTGGCCCGAAGGTTGCAGGTCCGATTCCAGTTGATAAAGGCCCGTGTAATGTGCGATGCCAGTTCTCGTTAACGAACACAATGTGATCGAAGTTTCGGCAGCTTTCCACCATGACATGCCTCATAATTACATTGCGATTTTGTCAAATGAGACACCATATAATGATACCTAATAGTTCATAGCCACACGAAGCCCGCATCTGGTGACATGAGGCACAACGCCATACAAAGATACGCGTGTGGTGGGCACAACGCCCACAACACGCGAATCTCATTACTGCACTCGAATCACTTCAAAACCATGCTACTAGATTCATTCATTCCTCATATGCCTATCACATTAGCGTGTCATCTTTAAAAGAAGAAATTGGCCTGTCCCCTCTATCTTCCCGCCGCCGCATTGCCACCCTTTGCTTGTTTCATAAACGTTTTCACAGTCCACTTGCAATCGAACCTTACGTTTCCCCCCCATTTCGCAGGTCATATCGCATTGGCCATGTCTTTCAAGTTGCCCGTCAACGTTCCCGCACCGTTACTTTTGCTGCCTCATTTTTTCTTCGTGCAGCAAAAGACTGGAATGACCTCCCCCACCATATTGCAGCAATCCCCTGTCCATCAACATTTATGCATAGCGTCACAAGCCATTTTTCAAGCTAATTCATGGCTTTTTTGTACGTTTTTTGTAACCCCACCCCTTATGTAATGTCGCCCTAGGGACCTTTAAGGTAATAAAAAATGAAATGAAACGATTAAAAAAACATCAACGCAAAGTTTAACCGAAAATAATTCTTTAAATAAGTACAATATTTATACAGATAAAGCATATCTAAGAGCGTTAATTCTTGGCCGATAGGGTACAAGCTGAAGATCGTGACGCCACCCAGATGAAAAAGTTTTGGCGAAGTTTTTGTAAGCATGACAAAGGAGTTCGGTGAAGTTATGAAGGAGTCGAACATCTTCATTATGTTTAAGGCAGTCACAGTGGCACGGAGCAACAGTTCTGGGCGCGAAGCCCAACCTTGCATATGCTATCGTAGTGCATATGCTACACTACGATAGCAGTGTTTTCAGCGAATTCTTTGAGACACGTCTTTCTTGTCTTCCAAGCGACCTCGATGTCTTACCAAGGCTGTCTTCGATCCATGCGACGCAAGCTTGTCCCAAAGAAGGCCGTATGCAGAGGCATCATGTGCGCGCGGATTGTACGGATAAGGTGAGTGCACCACACCTGCCTCTATGCGTGCCTGCATCTTCTTTGAGGGAGCTGCTGAAAACAGGATTTCGTCAGTTTCCACAGTAAGTAATCAAAACGATACATCGATGTCAAGGCTTTTTTTTGCTTGCTGCAGCGCTTTATTAACCATGTCACATTTTACAAATTATCTCCACAGTAAATGATGAATTAAGAAGGGAACAAGTCAGCGAAGAAAAAAAAAACCTTCCACGCCTGGCTTATCGCACACTCGCGTGTGACGTCCATTTGAGGATTCTACTTTCAGCCAGGCCACTGCTGACGCAGCTCATGTACGCAGATCGTCTGCTCCAGACGGAAACTTCTTCGATTGATTGATTGATATGTGAGGTTTAACGTCCCAAAACCACCATATGATTATGAGAAATGCCGTAGTGGAGGGCTCCGGGAATTTACACCACCTGGGGTTCTTTAACGTGCGCCCAAATCTGAGCACACGCGCCTACAACGTTTCCGCCTACATCGGAAATGCAGCCGCCGCAGCCTGGATTCGATCCCGCGACCTGCGGGTCAGCAGCCGAGTACCTTAATCACCAGACCACCACGGCGGGGCAAGGAAACTTCTTCGAACTAGCAGCCTTGCGAGGGTCAATAAACGCCTTCAACGACTGTTTTCAAGTGTGATAGTACACTTCTTTTTTAGTTGCAACTCAACTGAAAGAGCCAGGAAAACCCCGGATGGCCTAAACGTGCGTCAAAGACACCGACCACATTGCGGGTAACAAAGTGAAACTGTGTGTGTGCGTGTTCTCGCTCGTTATCACAGTTGCGCCGCACGATACTAAATTGTTCAGATTTTTTTGTTTCAGTAATTGTGGCTTTTTCCAACAGTTTGTAGATAAAGCTTGTCTCATCGAGGCGAGAAGGTGTACGACGCAGGCCACATTGTTGAATGCATGGTCGAGGCTGTCAATGGAGACAACATCACCATCAAGCTCTCGTCCTACAAACAAGCGGACTTGTGAACCCGCCACACAAAGCCTCCGTCGTGCCCCGCCGTCTAGTGGCTAAGGTATTCGGCTGCTGACCCGCAGGTCACGGGATTGAATGCCGGCTGCGGCTGCTGCATTTCCGATGGAGGCGGAAATGTTGTGGGCCCGTGTGCTCAAATTTGGGCGCACGTTAAAGAACCCCAGGTGGTCGAAATTCCCGGAACCCTCCACTATGGTGTCTCTCATATTCATATGGTGCTTTTGGTACGTTAAAACTCCATATCTAGTCTCCGTCTTGATCGACTGTGGCGAAGCAGCGAATGCTCGCCATTTGTGCAAATCAGGATGTGACCATGTCTACACGTGTAACTTAATAGGACACTAAAGCCAACTATTAAGTCGACGTTGATTGTTTAAATGGCGGTCCCGAAACCTCGTAGTGTTACTTTCGTGCCAAGGAAGGGCCTATTTTGAGATAAAATCGCGTTTTAGTTCTCCGCATCTGGTTAGCGCACTTCAAATTACCCACGTCAAGAAGCGGACCGACCGGACCATCTCACGTCACTGTTGCCGTGCACAAGGTTGCCCAGATTTACTGCGCTAGTAGCAACAGACCAAAGGCAGTGGGAGCCACAGCAGCAACAACGGCCATTGATCTATTTCCCGCCATTGAGTTCGAGATTGCAGACGTTTTCGTGTCAACTGCGCCCCGCTAGATGGCACTACCTGACCACTGTTGCTGTTCAGTCCGGGCTGTCACGGTGGATGGACGTGTTTTTTGAGCGCTCCGGATCGACTGAGCAGATAAGTGTTTTTGCATGTTTTGAGCTTGTCTTTATAATTATAAGGCAGCGGTTGAAATTTTCGTAGCACTTACTTTATGGTGCGGCTTTTTCGGAGGCCAGTCACCAGGTATTTATTAGTTAGTGCGGGTGTGTGTGTTTGAATTTGTTGTTTTTTTTCTTTTGCCTCCCCGTGGGGGAGGTGCGCGTACATTAAACACGCAAATTTTTGTAGTAGAGCTCAGACTTTCTTTTTTTTTCGTAGTGCAGGGCTCGAGTTTAGTAATTATTGAGTATAGGGACAATTGGTGTCAGAAAGACATGGTTAAAAAGACTGTAAAGTGTTCAGAATGTGGAGTGGGTTTGAAAGTGGACCCAAGCGTAGAAGCGGATGTAGAAGAGGCTGACGAGAAGTGTAGGCAATGTGAGGTCGAGGAAAAAATGGAGAAAATGATGGTTGCCCAGAGTGAACTGCTGATGAGAATCACCGAGCTCGAGACTGCGTTGGCGACAGAGCAAGAGAAAACGAGGGCAATGGGAGAAAGACTGAAGTCCGCCGAGGAAGCACTAGCGAAGCTGAACAAAGAAGCGGCCTACGGAGAGAACAGTAGGGAACCGGAAACCAGAACGGTGGAGAAGGAAGAGCAAGCAAGTTTGGAAAAAACAGGTTCAGCCGGTTCGATTGTCGCAAGGCCTAGCTTCAGCGAGGTAGTGGTGGGGCTGGGAGGGGACAAAGCAGCCGGCCTCACAGGTGCAAGTAGCCCCCAGGTGCAGGACGCTCCAGCTGAAAAGTCACAGCATGTGATAATCGCCGGGGACACGAATTTAAATCGATGCACAGAAGCCATCAAAGAGAGGGTAAGAGGTGACAAGAGGGTGGCAGTAGGGGCGTTCCCAGGACGCAAGCTCGAAGCAGTCATGAGGCAAGCGAGCGCAAAACTTAAAACTACAGCTGATAGACGAAACCTCGTGATAATTTCAGGCGGTTTGAACGATGTCCTAAATGAAAATACAGCAGGACTAGCAACTACACTGGCGAAAAGCGTCGATGACATGCGCGCCACTTCTTCTCAGGTACAGGTAGCGATATGCACGATACCTGAGGTACCGGTGCGTGATAGCAGCCTGCAAAGAGCGGTTGTCAACGCAAACCAAGAGATATGGCGGATAAGTCGAGAGAAACGCTTTGAGGTGGTGGAAATAAACAGAGAGGTGCATAGGTGGGGTGGTTTTCAGCGAGACAGAATTCACTTTGATGAGCGGCTAGGTCATGTGGTGGGTTGGCGACTTGCAGAACGCGCAGTAGCTTTTTTGGGGGGCAAGCGAGTCCTTCGGGGTGCAGGATAGCTAGTAACGAGGAAAACAACCAGGGAGACTCTTCGACAGGTGGTATGGACAGATACGATTCCAAAGTGGCACCAATATCTAAGATAGGTAGAGTCCGGGGCATAAATAGACGTAGCCACGAGCGCCAAGCCAATTCAGACATAGGGTATATTAACATGCAGGGTGGTAGGAACAGGCTGAAGTGGGAAGAGATAGAAGAACAGCTAAGGGAAGAGAGGCCGATGGTATACGGTTTTGTAGAAACACATCTCAGGGACATGGAACAACCTCCGAACAATCCGGACTACGCGTGGGAATATTGTAATAGAACAGAAGGCAGCAGAAAGGGGGGTGGTATTGGGGCATTCATTTATAAAAGTACAGACTGGCAAAGGGTCAAGCAGGAGTGCAAGGAACATTTATGGCTAAAAGGGAAAGTGGCAGGTCAAATGACACTCCTTGGTTTTGTGTACTTGTGGACGGGAGCAAAGGCCAGAGAGGAAAACCAGGCAATGGTAGAGTGTATATCAAAGGACATTCAGAAGTTAGGAAGAGAGTGCGAGATAATTATACTAGGAGACATGAATGCGCACATAGAAGATATAGATGGGTATACCGACCCGACAGGCAAAATGATCATGGATATGTGTGAAAGGCTTGATTTCATCATTTGCAACAGTACCGAGAAGTGTGAAGGGCAAATAACATGGGAGGTAGGAAGGCTGCAGTCGACGATAGATTATGCACTGATGTGACATAGGATGTATGATAAGCTCAGGAGAATGCACATAGATGAAGGCGGCTCCAGAAGTCTGGGTAGTGATCACAAACGTATCAAGCTAAGTTTTGGAAGAGCAGTGAAAGTGGGAAGGAGACAAGATGAGCAACTACAGGAAAATTTTTATTCGGAAAGGCAAATTGAAATAGCCACTAAACAAATTGAGAAAGTAATCACGGAGGATAATAAGACAGTGTGGATATACACGAATCTAATTAGACTTCTTGAGCTTGAGCTTGCTAAGATGCGTGACAAGTCACCCCGGAAAAAAAGAAGACACCAACCCAAAAGTTGGTGGGATGAGGAAGTTAAGGGAGCCATAGCAAAACGTCAGGATGCATCTAGGGAACACAGACATGCTAAGCAGTGGGGTGAACCGACAGATGATGTTGAAAGAAAATGGGAAACCTTTCTAAGCTGTAGAAGGGATGCATCCCTTCTGATCAATAAAAAGATTAGAAGAAAGGGAGCTCAGTGGCTGGCAGAAGTACATAAAAAAGATAGAAAGGCAGCTGCAAAATTTTGGAACCATCTAAACTCCCTAAGAAATGAGACGAGCCTAGAGCAGAGTTTTATAACTACTGCCCAAGGTACTAGGCTAGAAGGGGACGAAGCTATTGAATATATAAGAACAAGGGTGACAGAAAAATTTCAACAAAGAAGTACTTTATGCACCACAATAAAGAAGGACGAATCAAGTGGTGCAATGGCTCCATTTTCACAACGAGAGTGGGAAAGGGCTGAGAAAAGGGTTCCTAGTAGTACATCAACAGGCCCAGATGGCATTCCAATTATGCTGATAAAGACATTAGGTCCGAAGTCTAAGCAGGCTTTGAGAGAGGCAGTGAGCAAAATAATAATCGATGGTGAAGTTCCCGATGGATGGAAACTTAGCAGGCTGAGCATGATCTATAAAGGAAAGGGGGACAAAGCTGACATAAACAACTACCGTCCTATAACAGTGACATCAGTGGTCTACAGGCTGGCAATGCAGATTATAAAGGAAAGACTGCAGGCATGGATAGAGGATGAAGGGGTGCTGGGGGAACTGCAGAATGGGTTTCGGAAACACAGGAGGTTGGAAGACAATCTGTTCTCACTGACGCAGTGCATCGAAATAGCAGAAAAGGAACACATGCCCCTGTGGCTAGCATTTTTGGATATCAACGGAGCGTACGATAGCGTAGTTCAAGAGGAATTGTGGGGAATACTGGACACACTAGGCGTGGAACATGTAGTCACTAATCTTTTAAAGAATATCTATAAAGGTAACAAGGTAGTTATAAAGTTATAAAAACAGGTATCCAAGCCTGCAGAGGTAAAACGGGGGCTTAGGCAGGGGTGTCCCCTGTCACCCTTATTATTCACGATGTACCTACAAGGATTAGAGGCCAAATTAGAGGGAAGTGGACTGGGCTTCAACCTCTCTTTAGTCAAACAAGGAAAACTTATTGATCAGGCACTACCAGCATTAATGTACGCAGATGATATAGTGCTAATGGCCAAAAACAAGGAAGATTTGCAGAGATTGATGGACATCTGTGGTAATGAGGGAGATAGGTTAGATTTTAGATTCAGTAAGGAAAAATCAGCAGTCATGATTTTCAATGACAACGAAGGTAGTGAGCTTAGAATACAGGAGGTCACGCTAGAGATAACAGATAAATACAAATGTCTGGGCGTATGGATAAGCAGTGGGACCGAGTACCTGAGGGAACACGAAATATACGTGACGACTAAAGGTAACAGGAATGCAGCAGTGATGAAAAATAGGGCACTGTGGAATTACAATAGGTATGATGTTGTGAGAGGAATATGGAAAAGGGTCATGGTTCCTGGGCTGACGTTCGGCAATGCGGTCTTGTGCATGAGATCAGAAGTTCAAGCAAGATTAGAAATTAAGCAACGAGGAATAGGTAGGCTTGCTTTAGGAGCTCACGGGAATACACCAAATCAGGGAGTACAAGGTGATATGGGATGGACATCATTTGAGGGCAGGGAAGCTAGCAGCAAGATAAAATTTGAGAAGCGATTGAGATAAATGGGGGAGGAGCGTTGGGCTAGGAAGATTTTCAGCTACTTGTACATGAAGAATGTCGATACAAAATGGAGGAAGCGAACCAGGAAATTGACTGGTAAATACTTAGAAAACAGCAGGTGGCCAAACCAAAAAGAACTATCGGTTAAGAAGAAAGTGAAGGAAACGGAGACTGACATGTGGAGAATGGGCATGATTAAGAAGTCCGCACTAGAGATTTATCGAACTTTTAAGCAGGAAATTGCCAAGGAAAGGATCTATGATAATACTCGGGGTAGTTCTGTACTGCTCGAGGCCTGGACGGGAGTACTGCGAACCAAGACATATCAGGCCAAATACGAAGGGGTAGACACAGTATGCAGTGCGTGTGGAGAGGAAGAATAAACTGCCGAACACTTGATAATGTTCTGTAAAGGGCTTCACCCTATAGTTCAGGATGATGGCGCAGAGTTTTTCAAAGCACTGGGGTTTAGGTACCGGGAGGGCAAATTAGACTTTAAGCGGGTAGACTTAACTAGAAGGAGGTTATCTGATTGGTGGCTAAAGTCAAGGCACGAGTGAAAATTAAACTCTTCACTGCAAAGTACGTATCCTCAAACTCACTTCTTAAAGAAAAAAAAATAAATCTAGTTTTTTGTTCATTGAGTATTACGGCTTGGTGGCGCTAGCCACCGCCTGATCTAGAGGGTACAGCCATATCTATCCATCCATCCATCCATCCAACCACGTCAAATTGAATTTTTGAACCACTCGCGCCTTTCCCCATAGTGACGTCTGGCGATTCTTTTTTAGGGACGAAGCTCCTTAGAGCGGCACCGGTTCGTCCCTCGTAGTAGTAGTAGTAGTAGTCGTAGTGTGTAACCAGTCTTACATTTTGACTTCCAAGGTGCTGCCAGTGAGAGATTTCTTCTGTGCGTTGTTGAACAATAAAAAATTCGCAGCGTGGGCGTTAACTAAAAGCCGTATTCTCCTGCTTCTCATTCCCCCTTAGCAGCTATTGGAATGTACATTGACCACTATCTGACAAGAAAGAGTTGCTACGTTATACTCGCTGGGCGTAACCTCCTTGGTTTTAAAAAGGATTAGCGAGCGTTAGACCGCAGTGCCATGAATACAGTGAATTAGTATATACCATGAACTCGAGGTGGTTAAAGGTGGGAAGTAGACACGAAGCGCAAGCCGTGGGAAAGTGTGTGTGTACCACATCTCGTTTGGCGCTTGGAATGTCCGCTGAATGGCGGTGCTTCTATGTGCAGAATATATGATGAAAAGATGCGAGATGGTGGTATTTGGAGTGTTGAATAGGTGGACGAACGGACACACAGACAGATGCATGGACGGACGCACGGATGGCTGCACGGATGCATGGACGGACGCAGGAGCGGATGCATGGACGGACGCACAGATGAACGTGCGGAGGCACGAACAGATGCACGCACATGCGGCCACACAGACGCACCCATGGATGGACAGAAGCAAGAACGAATGGACGGACGGATGCTTCGCCCCACTTTCTATCATTCAATGCGTGGATGTGCTGCCATTCATGAATAAAAAAGAAACGAACAAGCAGGATTTTATTGCGTAACTTGATGCACGGGAGATTCTTTATTTAGTGCAGTTAGATCAATTACTAATGAATAATTGTAGGCGGTCCGTCTGATGTTATCGTAATCATTTTGAAAACTTCCCACTGCGGCGCTTGTGTTTTTGTTCATTTACCTTAATTTCTCGGTAAGTAGGGCACTGTTGTTGATAATATTGTCATTTTAGATGTTGCCATACATTGAGCTTTCACTCTGACGTAAATCAGCAAGCTGCGCAATAAGCGCGCGGCGGCTCTCCTCTCTCACGCATACTTTGGCTTGCGGAGAGGACAGTGGGCAATCTTTCGAGCACACTTATCTCCCAGGGGGGAGGATATTACGTTTTCACTGCCTCTGGGCTTGCACTGGAACGATTCTGTTGTAGTTACGGGGCGCACAAAGGTCACTGCAATCGTTGCACAGCCTCTGTTTGCAAAAAGGGCGCGCTTTTCAGGCACAGCGAAGTAACAACTGAGATGCTTATTCTCGTTCATCTGTACCTATGAGTATGTTTTGTGCGTCGTTTGTGCGTGAGAAACGCGGGGCACGTTTTGATCTGCTTGCAATTCTGCCCGTGAACTTTCAGTTTGTTCCTATCGCGTTCATTGCTTCGCCTTTCCGGCAAAGCTGTGACTTTTTTTCGAATTTAATATGCATACTATAGACTATAAATCACTGGAGAGTCTGTTTATCCGTACAGCTATGTCGCTGATAGCAGATAGCGTGTAGATTGTGACAACTATGCACTGCTTAAATAACAGATCACAGATTATATCAGTGACTGACGAAAGTAGACAATGCATTTTCTTTTGTCATCAGTGGCACTCTATGTGAAGAATTGCTGAACACACATATTAGGCATCGCCCAAAAAATATGACGTGCTTGTTGCAACATTAAAAATATTGTTAAAAAGCCGCTAAAAATCACAAAATCAATTAGTTGTTTTATATTTTATACACGCGAACCACCACTTATGAAGCCCAAACGAACATTTGAGAAAAGCAAGTTATCTCCACTTACCGGGGACCAACTCTTCGAGCCTCTTCAAAGTCAAATGCCGCTAACGCTATTCATTCCATCGGCATGAAATGCGCAGGTGTTTTACAGGGATATAAAATTTTTACCACCTATTTTGCATGTTCTTCGCTTCCAACGTTCGTTTCCTGTGCATCTGTAACATCCGGTTGATGCGAAATTCATAGCCTACACAGCTGGCACGCCGCCACTACGTTGTCATGAGCGAAGTCCTGTATTTTACAGCGAAAGCTCTTATGAAATCAAAACTTGGGTCACGGCGGCGCCGTAGCTGTCCACCGCCGCCGCCGCCAGTGTCCGATCTCTAGTCACGAAATAAGAAAATAAAAACTACTACCATTGTCCACTGTGTCCGCTGTATCCTAGTCCGCTGTGTCCCAGCCCAGTATTCTACCACTGAGCCACGCTGGCCCTTTGGATTTGTTCGCAATATTTCCTTAGGCAGGCTTGATGTCGGGAAAGGAATTGCGTTAAATTGGGTAATCAAGCGTTTCAGAACAGCAAAGAAACAACGGGGAGTCACACAATGCAAATAGCGTAATGAATGGGTCTTCTAATGCTCCAACACATATCGAAGCTTGTTTTTGATCACCTAATAAATGTGGCGCATACCCAGTTCAGGCGTAATTCCTCATTGTCGTCAGACACTGCAAGAACGACTGGCACAAAATTCTTTACAAGTGTTTAGCACATAAAATGCTTCTCAAAAGAATGACAAAAAATAGCCTAACGAATGCTGGTATACCCAGAATTATTATAATTATAATGCCGTAGGGGGTACCCAGCAAATGTGATTGCAGCATTTACCCTATCAGTGTTTTGAAAAGGCTCTGAAAGGACGCCCTCCGCTTTCAATGTGACTGTGCTGCGCCTCCCACGCAGGCCTGGCGTTTTTTTAGTAGCGCCCACCACACGGGCATGTATGAGCGGATGGTGTAGCGGCGAGATCAAAAAGTCTATGTTGAAGCCATTGAGGTTACTTTATTAGGATGTTGTAGGTAGCCGGTGGATCTTGCCTTGCGAAAGGTGCAGGCAATTGCCCCACCCGATTTGCTCTTTGCTATAGTGGTATTCAACGAGTGTCTTTTTTTTTTCTTTCAACTAAGCGCGGAGAGCAACGCATTCTGTTTTAGGTGCATCATACCATACGCTACACACTTGACAGCAAGCATTCACTTGGATGACATCCATTCACGCATGCGCAGAGAGTTTCCGCAATGTCGCATGAAACACAGCAAAAAGTTCGTGGACTGCGCAATGGGCGTTGTTTACATGACTCCTTTTAGCTGTGGTAAAGTGTGCATCGGTCAGTCGGGAAGGTGTGTCAATGTTCGTCTCAGAGAGCATGATTCTTTTTTGAAATTTGAGGGTGCATCGCATCTCGCGGCTCATTGCAGAGAGTGCGGTTGTTATCCTCTTCGTCAGAATACTGAAGTGGTTTTTCGATCTAAAAATAAATTAACTCGCGAGTTGACATAAGCTTTTCACATAAGAAAAAGAGGGGAACAATGCGTCAGCCAGCCTTCGGTTTTGCTGCACGATAAAGAGTTTGGTTTTCTAGATTATGTTCTGTGATAATCTGTTTTCTTTTACCCTGTGTTCTCGATGTGCCAAGAGTGTACTTTTTTGCCTGCACACGCATGCGTTGTGTTAATTGCCTGTATATATATTCTGCCCTTTCTAATAAACAGTTTAGTTGCGAGAAAGCGCTTGTCCTCTCTTCCTTTCTGTTTATTCGTGCCCTTGAACTGACACTTATATCATGCATATCCAACAAGCCCAACTGTCGATTCTGTTGCACAGCCTCTTACAGGCTTTCTGGTGTTCCACATATGTCACCAGATTAACAACGTTGTCTATTGACGAATGGCCGTGCCTGAATCTGGTCATGGATACTGAATAGATTTCGTAGTGCTCTAAATACCACTCCATTCGTGTTATAATCACTCGTTCTATTGTTTTTCCCACACAACTGGCAAGCGCGATAGGACGGTATGAGGCAATATTCAAAGGAGATTTACCAGTCTTTAGAAGTGGAATGGGGCGACTTCACATCCATGCTTGGGGAACCATACCAGCCTGCCAGAAGTCGTTGTATAGGCGTAAGAGTGCCTTCCGAGCTTCGTATTCAAGATTACAAAGAGTACGACAGGCAATGCCGTCAGGTCAGGGTGTTGAAGAACGTCTGCACAGTGCCAGCGGTGCCTCTATCTCCTACATAGAAAACTGGCATTCCATACGGGGATAACGTGAGGGCGGTGGGTTGTCAAGTGTTTCTATTCTTGATTCCGTGAAATTGGAAACACCGGCCATTCTTCTGCAGAAGAATTCTGCGACGTCAATCTCTCCGCATTGTAGGTGAAGTGCCAGAGATGTAAATGTGTGTCGCTGACCAAAGGTTGGGCTAAGACCCTGGACAGTTACGATATTAGTGATAGGGGCTTTCGCGGATCCAACGACTCGCAGAACGATGTTCAATGTCACCAAGCCAGTTTATCCATGTGCCGCTGCATTTTCAATTGAATGCGTATAGCCAGCCTCAAACATCCATGCACTTTGACCGTCGGTACCTACGTTCTGCACGACGACGTATTGCACGAAGTTTCTCAAGCTCGATGTCAAAATCGGTGCGCTTGTGAGTAGTCAAAAGTGAATGCGTGGTATTCTACAGGACATCCTTTATTGATTCCTCTAGGTTTTACGATGAGCCGTCAGTACAACAGTCTTCCATTAACACTTTGAATTTCGGCCAATCAGTGTATTTGGGGTCTCTTGAGGACTTGGAGCTGGTGAAACCTTCTATCCGCAGGTAAGTTGGAATATGGTAGCTGCCCCGCGTTTCCAGATTAGAAAACCAGTGCACTTTCCTGGTAAGTGAGTGACAAACCAATGTAAGCTCCAGGCAGCTGCTATAGGCCGATCCATGTAAATATGTAGGGCTTCCATCATTACAAATGCAGAGTTTCTACTCCGAGGCTAAGGACGCCAATCTTATTCCTCTAGGGTTGACCCTGGAGCTTCCCCATAGAAAATAGTGGGCATTAAAGTCGCCAGTGATCACCCACGGACTTAGAGTCGATGTCAGAATGCCGAGTAAGCGCTCGCAGTCAAGGCGGCTTGATGGAGATAAGCAAGCTCCGAGAATCGTGAAAGTAACCTTATCCTTCTTCACGGTAAGGCACACATATTGATTTTCTTCATCAGGCGAGACTGTGGTGAACATGAATGAGGTCACGGCGCATGAATACAATAACCTTGCAGCAGTCTCAGTGAGTGGGGACATATCTTGACAGTTTGATTGGAGCGGACAGGTTTGGGTTCTCAAATCACAATAAGAGGGAAACGGTTGACAAATACAAACTGCCTGAAGTCAGACATGCGCGATTTATGTCCTCTGGCGTTCCACTGAAAGACAGATGCAATCTTGACTTCCACTAGAAACGACGATGTCTTGCTTGCCGTGGTTTTACCCTAAGCTGCAAGCACCGGACTCGGGGTGTCCAGCACTTGCAGGGCTGTCTGCGCAGACGAAGTTTTCATATTGCTCAGTAGGACACGCATGGCACTCATCAGCGATTGCAGCAAGCTTATCACTTGATCTTCATTCGTCGCATCACTGGTTCGAAAGGTCGTCGAGGGCGGCGAGATTGGATGCAACTCCAAAGTAGGTTGACTTCGTGGAAGTTAGAGCCACTGTTCGGAAGGTGTGATTGCTGTCCCTTCCTTCAGTTTGGCAGTATCCGTATTCCGTGAGTTCGGTGTTTGTAGGCCAGTCACTTTGACAGAGGATGGCATCTCTCTATCGGTAGAGCATTCTTTTCGTGATCTTCGCCAACGACGCCGTCGTCAGCGAAATGTAGCGGCAGCTTCCCTGTGCGCTGAATTGTCCCGCACCATACACCTGAGTACCGCGTGCTCGTTTCGCCCCCGCGGGCAATCTATGGATGAGGCTTCATGAGCGCCGGGGTAGTTTGGATATCGTAACACGGTGGCACCACAGACGTCTTTTAAGTGATATTGAGCGCACCACGGACACACAACTTTGTTCTCGCAGGCACCTTTTACGTGTACCATCTTGAAACACTTGTAGGATTGCAGTGGCTTCGGTACGTGTGGGCGCACTGAGTGGTGAACATGGCCAACTTTGACATACGAGGGAAGGCTGTCTCCCTCGAACACAAGCCTCAAGCAGAGTGAGTTGCCTAGTCTGGTGATGTGCGTGATGCGAGTGCCTTCTGTAGCTGGCTTTAGTAATATTGACGGGTCATTAGCTGAGATGGAAACATCCACATCATAAATTACGCCTACAGTACCATTACAACTTGTAGCGACCATTGGTCGAACTTTCACGCTGCCGAGTTCTGTTATGTGCCGAAAGCTTTGCAGTACGCTACGGACATTCTTCCCTGCATTGATCCTCGCGTCTTCGATCTCATTCGGCGCGGTTTCCTCGAGAAGCACAGAAATAACTTGCCTGTTGAGGAGTCACAAGTTGGACACGGTCTTCGGGCATGAACAGCATGGTGTGCGGCCAGCGCTGTGGTGCGGTCTTAACGGTGGAAACACTTGCCGATGATGCCGTGCGCAGCAGTCTTCGTTTTGTAGTTCAATTCAAGACGACCATGAAGTCATCATCCGATGACTCGAAGCCATCGCTTGCGCTGCTCCATCAATTATATTCCTGTGTACATGTGGTCAAGTCATGTATTAATGCATGATTTTTTTTCAAGTACATTAGATTCCGAAGACTGCATGTGCTCGAAACTATCACTGCCCTGAGTGGTTTACGAGTGCAATTTCTCGCACGAAATACATTTAACTGGCAATGTAACCACTGAACAATGTCGTCCAAGTTGAGCACACTGATGCACCTGGAGACATGCTTATAGAACATAGACCTTGACGCGGAACTGAATTTAAACTGTTAAATTGTGTAAGTTGAGTTTCCAAAGGCTGAAAATAGTTACTGTTGCTAAAGATATTTCGCTTTTAGTAGTGTCCACTGTGAACTTGTTTTATGTCTA